GAAGTTCTTCCAAGTTGCTGTCGTTGCAATCTGGGGAGTGGTTTTCTTTTTGTGGTGTGCTTCTTTCCTGAGGAGTTTTTAGGTTGCGTGTGGTTCTTCTACTCCCTACTGTCTGTTTTCTAATTTGTCGTATGCGTTGGGACACTGTGTTGCTCGGACTGACTGACATCTTGGGTGAACTTCTCCGCTCCCCTCTGGCTCTTCCAGGAGCCATCTCTGTCTTCTGGGGGAGCTTTCTGCTGGTTTTAGGCAGTTTTTACTGAAGAAATGTCCCTGTTCTCAAATGGCGAAGCGGGATGCAGTCCCTGCGCCTCTGGTTTCAGGCACACTCTTCTGCGCACCCGGTCTGCCCCGGACGTGGGTGCCTGCTCCCTCTGTGGGCTCAGACTGCTGGTCGGAAGGGGCCTGGCGTGGAATAACTTCCCGGCTGGCCACTGGGTCCTCCAGAAACCTTCTGCCCTTTTCAAGCAGTCTTAAGAAATGTCCTGTTTTATAGGGTGTTAGTGACTTTTTTTTTCCTGGTCGCTAGGTGGCGCCAGAGATCTCTCCTATTGTCCTTGGGGGGCTGTTTTTCGCCTCCCCCCACCCTGTGGGACAGAGAACAGAGCGGGAATGGTAGGGTACACCTCAACAGCTTTGGGGTGCTGTGTCTGCCTTGTGCCCCACCGTCGTGGAGAAACCACGCCCCGAATTTTCGTGCCCCGGGTCTCAGTTCAAAGCCCTCAGTTCCAGGACATGGGCTGTAGCCCAGTTCAGTGGCGCGGGAATGGCGCCTTTTGCACAGCTCCCGTGCCTGGGCGCCTGGTTCCTGCTCACTCAGGGAGGGACCTTCACCTCAGTGAGGACCTCCGTGCGTCTCCCCGCAAGCCTAGGTCGTCTCCCCGCAAGCCTAGGTCGCAGGCGCGGGGACCTGGGCAGCCACGATCCAGGTCTGCACTTGCTTTTCAAGCTCCCCGAGCGCGCCGAGTTTCCGCGCAGGCTTACCGGCAGCCCGGGCTGTGTGCGGGTCTCCCGGGGTCTTTGTTCTTCTCTAATGGCGCCCGGAGCCGTTCGCTCACCGCCGCGGCGGATCCTGCAGGGTTCGCCTCAGCTCCCGTTCACGGGGTGTGGTGACTGCAATAGTTCCTTTCCACTCCCAGTCCCGCTTGCTGCGTCGTTTGTTCTTGTGGGCCGTTTTGGTTTGTTGTTTCCTCCTCTCTGCCAGTCGGAGAGTGCCGCCTCTGTGGGCGGGGGAGGGGAGCAGGGTTCTGCGCTTCCCTCCCTTCTAGTCCTCTTTTATGGCCACTTTCTTCTTCGGGCAGTTCGCTGGCGTCACCCGTTTATCTTCAGTGTCCCACTTCTCACTGGGACCTGCCGCTTTTCCTCCCTATTAACTTTTTTTAATGGGAGATCTTACTCGCAGCGTCTCCTCGCTGCCATGTTGCTCCGCCCCCTCTCGTAATAAAAAAGTTTTAAGACTCAAAATAATGTAAAGTGATCTCCTCATAGAAATATATAATTGGAAAATACCCTGTGATCCTACTTCTCAGAGTCAGCCACATCAACAATTAGTGAAAAGTCATCCAACTTTTTTTTTTTTAACAATTCATATACTACTGTGATTTATTTTTCATGGAAATGGATCATATGAGACTTGTTGCTTGGCAACTTGCTTCACTTGAAGCATATCTTGGACATCTTTATATGCTAAAATATTTCAATTTACATACTTTATATCTTCTCTTATACTGCAGCTTAATATTCCAGCAGTAGCCAACAGCTGTGTTACATGGGTGGTAGAAAGTCAGGGGGCCCAGTCGTTTCCTCTCCAGACCCTAAAGATCATTTATCCTTGTGGTCACCTTGGCTCGTATGTGACTACTCTACCCTACCCTCTGACCCTTCTGCAGATGCTTTTTTGTTCCAGTCTCCCATTCAGTTTACTTTCTTGGTGTGCTAGCTCTCTATACCAGATTTATTGGTGTTGGTGCTACTGTCCTAGCTATTGTCAGTGACTTCAGAGGTCCTCTTCCAGAATTTTGTGGAAATGGACAGAGATGGCAGTCATCTGAGGCTGAAGTGACAGCCTCAACAAACAGATGAAGAGAGTTCTGATATCTCTTAGTGCAAAGTGTCCCAAGTGTGACAATTTCAGAATACTTTTCTTGTTAAAATAAGTATTTTTTATTCTCCTTTTTAAAAACTTAATTTTCAGTCATTTATATGTCTGTGTAACTTTGGGGTTACTTTCGTACTTCTCCATGTGTGCATATGTTTCACTCACCCTCCACCAAACCTCCTATGCCCCTCCCTTATCCCTTTGCTTTTCCTGTCTATTCCTCCTTCCCCCCAGTTCCCTCTGGTAATCAGTATATTTTTCACTAAATCTAAGAATTGTTTTTGGTGTACTTTGCCAGTATATATTTTTTTTTGCTGTTTATATTCTTTAGGTAAATGTGAAACCATCTGATAGTTCACTTTCTGACTTTATTTTGCTTGGTTGGTGTAATTACTCCAAGGTCCATCATTTTGTCCGAAAATGCAGTATTTCATCCTTTTTAATAGCTGAGTAATATTGAATCAAGTATATATTCCACAATTACTTTATCCAATCATCCAATCATCTGTTGATAGGTACTTAGATTAGTTGCATGACATGGCAGTTGTGGACAGTGCTGCTATAAATGTATGTCTTTATTTTGTTTTTGTTTTTTTTAAGAGTTATTTTATTTGTACAATAGTGTACAGGTCAGAGGCACAGGAGGTTGAGAGGATTTACCAGAGACAGCAGGGAACAGAACAGGCAGATAGACCGAAGTACACTGCTGAGGGGAGCAGCGGGCAAGACAGGAGAGGTCTGCCGCACCATGTGGGTATTTCTCTGGCTGGCTGGGAATCGAACCCGCGCTGCGGAGGCTGCGGACAGCTTCACAGCGCTGCGCTCAACCGCCTGCCCCACCAGGGAGGCTCTATAAATGTAAGACTTTGTATTAATGTTTTCATATTCTTTGGGTACATATCTAGCAGAGGTATGGCCACCAGGGAAGTCCTATAAATGTAAGTCTTTGTATTAATGTTTTTATATTCTTTGGGTACATACCTAGCAGAGGTATGGCTGTATCATATGGGATTTCCATTTTTATTTTTTTAAGCTTATCTCTATACCATTTTCCATAGAGACTGCATCAAATTGCGTTCCCATCAATAATGGAGGAGTGTTCCTTTTTATCCACATCCTTGCAACATTTATTGTTGTTGTGTTTTTTTTGTTTGTTTGTTTGTTTGTTTTTTTGATACAGGTCATTCTTACAGGGGTGAATTGATGTAACATTGGTTAGCTTGTTTGAGTTTATTTGTTTCTTTATTTTTAATTTGGACCTACATTTCTTTGAACTTCCTACATGGTATATAGGTAATACTGCTTTTAGAGCATCTAATACGGTCTTTTGCTTTTCTCTCCATTTTTCTTCATTTCTTCTTTGAAGTATTTCTTCTATTTTAAGATCATTGTTAGGTTTGCTTTAGTCCTTTATTTTTTATTTAAGCAGAGCTCATTTTCACTTGTCCTAGTTTCAAATTTGTTGTAAAAAATCATTCCTGTGAACCTACTACAAGATAGGCTTTGTTGCAGTTTTTAAGTTAACTATTAATATATATTTTTTTAGATAATAGGTTTGATTTTCTTTCTTTTTTTTTTTAAGATTTATTTATTTATTTATACAAGCACTGGGTACAGTCAGAAGCGCGGGAGGGCGAGAGAACTTACCAGAGCCAGAGCAGGGAGCAGAGCAGGCAGAAAGACCGAAATACACTGCTGAGGGGAGCAGGGGGCGGCAGGAGAGGTCTGCGCTCCATGCGAGACCCTCCTCCAGTGGCTGGGAGCAGCCGGGGATCGAACCAGCGCTGCAGAGGCTGTGGGCAGCCTCGCAACCCAGCGCTCAACCGCTGCGCCACCAGGGAGGCCCAACTATTAATATTTTTAACATCAGTGTTCGAATGTTAACTTATCCACAAGTCACCAGGCATCTACTGTGCACTTACTGTGAGTTCCCCGTTTCATTTTCCTATGCAGCCTGGGGTTGTGGAAAGAGCTAGAGGAGTCTTAGGAATGAGGTCACCTGGAATCTAATTTGGTTGTGTTCTTCAGAGACATGAACTATTCATGCATCTTCCATGCCCTACTCTTTAAAACTGGCTGCAGGACAGGTATTTCTGAGGATTTTCCCAATAATTTCTAAATTTCATTACCATTGAAATCCTATTTTTGTAATCCCAATGTGTTACCCAGCGTAATCCTGGCTGAGTTTCATCCTGAAACGAGTGGGATAGAGGTAAATAGTCAAGAAACTTGGATTCTAATCTTGGCTTTGAAAGTTACCTCTCTGGGCAGATCCTGGAGGTATGAGTTTGTAAAAGCATGACCCAGAACCATGCTTCTTAATTAGGATGTATATCAGAGTCACACATAGATTTTTGTAGAATATACATGTTTAGATTCAGTTCCTAGAGGTTATGAGTCAGTAGGAGTTAGGTGGGGACAAATTAAATATTTTAAAGTCACTCCACAGGGATTCTGAGGCACTCTTGTTAAAAATAAAGTCTAGGGCCTTCCAGGTGGCACAGCAGTTGAGCTCTGGGTTGCGAAGCTGCCCGCAGCCTCTGTAGCACTGGTTCGATCCCCGACCATCAGGTGAGTGTCCCACATTGTACGCAGACCTCTCCTGCCGCCCGCTGCTCCCCTCTGCAGTGTATTTTGTCAGTCTGTCTGTTCTGCTCCCTACTCTGGCTCTGGTGAATTCTCTCACCCTCCCAAGCTTCTGACTGTACCCAGTACTTGCATAAATAAATAAATAAATAAATAAATAAATCTTAAAAAAAAAAAAAAGTCTGACCTGTTATCATTTGTCAAATACTTAAATACCCAGACCTGCCATTGTTGTTTTTCCTAGAAAATCCTTCCACTCTGGGCAGATTAGTTATTGCTCTTTGCTTTGCTAAGTGGCCTTTCTTTTCTTCCTTAGTAACAACCTGCAGTGCTTCACAGTGCGGTGTAGTGCGGCGGCAGCTCGCGAGGAGGACCCATATGGGGACACCACCCTGAAGGTTAGAACTGGCTTATGATGACGTGAAATCATAGGATCCAAGAGGAACATATGAATGCTTGCAAACTTACTCTTACTCTTGGATCTAAGCTGGTTAATATTAAATGTCTTATGGTTTTGTTTATTGAATTAGAACTTTTAGATGTAAAATAGTAAGCATTTTGTGATTTGTGGTTTAGATGACAGTTTTTAAGATTCTTTGAAAACTATGCACTCAAAATTGATATAGTGCATAGTTTTTATAGTTTGCTAAAGAATATATATAGTTAACTAGTGAGGGCACTTAAAATTGTAGTATACTATGATTTTATTTTTTGTTAGCAGAAATATTGGTGGCAGTGGTATAGAGCTATTAACAAAGTGCAAAAATCAGTATATTCACAAATATGGAATTGAGGAGAGTGCATTAAAATGATTTATTTCTGCTATTATCAGATATGCTAATAATTCTTTTGTTATTTTACAAACCTTTGATAGCCTTTTGTATTTGCACAGTCTTAGTCTAAGAGTTAATGATTTGCTTGATCAATAACCTCATTTTTTGGTGTGAGAAGCAATATGCTTAGTCTCTAAAAAGCTCTTAGCCACAAAATAAAAGTAGGCAATTTTATCATGAAATTTTATGTTTCTGACCTTGAATTTCTGCTCTTAGAAATATATCATTTGCATAATATTTCTCAAATATGCTATTTCATCTCTGAAATTTAAACTACTTGATGAATGTTTATTATGACTAAATATGCTGTAGGAAACCCTAAAATGATAATGACCTGTATTTCACAAGTTTATATCTATCTAGCACCTGGAAGGCCTTTTCCTGGAAAAATACATGTTAAATATTTACATTAAATACATTTAATGTAAAAATACATTTCTTGAGCTCTCAGAAAGAACTCTTTCATTATCTTTCTTCTCCATTCTGTTTGAATGGAGCTGCTGGCCCAGGGTTTCCTTGAATTTACTTGACACCATCTAGCCTGTCAGCCATTCCATGTTTATGTTAACAAAATAGCTCCTATGTGATGCTTAATGTGTCTGAGGTGCTGTCACTGTTGCCCTTAGTGTGATGTATGGTAGTGTTTTATGGATATTGTACCTGAGTTCTCATTAACTCCTTTTTGTTATGGAGCTTTATATTGCTGACCAGGCTTCCTGCCTACCTTTAGCCTCTTGGGAAACCAGAACATATAACCTTTTCAAGAAATTAGTCTATTTCCCTAATGAAACTGGAAAGCTGACAGATTCTTTGTTCTCGGTTCTCCCAGCTTTCCCTGTTTGTTTGTTTTTTTTTTTAAATACATATAGCTCTGAAAGACATAGGCTTACATAGATGGTTATGGTGGAGTGAGGAGAGATATAATAGGCCGTTGTTGAATCAAACTACATTTGAAAAAAATATATCATAATTTTAGGTCTTCTCAGGGTCTCATAAAAATGATGGAAAGGAAAATGGAAAAGAGGAAGGGAGAAAAGAGCAGAGTGTGGCAACTGACGGGTGCTGCTCTTGAGCCCTGTGTGCATGGAGGTGACAGTGAGAGGGACAGTGATGCTGATGCCTTCCCCAAACCTTCACCATTCTGAAGTCCTAGCTGCCTCATGAGCGAGCACGTGGTTGGGTAGCCTGTGTGCTAATTCAGGCTTTGCTGCTGTGCTGTCTGAGAGGTTTCACCACCTTAGAATCTGGTTGAGAGTATATGGGATCTTCATTTCCCTTTCTTCTGAGAATCCTAAGATTCTGGCTCCTCAGCAGTAGCCACGGTCACCTTAACTATTCAGAGGAATAAGGAAAGTAGATGGAAGTATTTCCCCAGGTACTTTTTATGAAGGGAAAGAAACAGGAAGATGACCTCAGAATCAAAATCCCATTAATGGAGGAAAGGACAGGAACCTGGCAGCTTCATTTCTTGAGCTCTCAGAAAGAACTCTTTCATTATCTTTCTTCTCCATTCTGTTTGAATGGAGCTGCTGGCCCAGGGTTTCCTTGAATTTACTTGACACCATCTAGCCTGTCAGCCATTCCATGCAATAGTCACACATAAAGAGTTAAAGGCTTTCAGAATGTGCAAGCTTTTTCCTACTATATACCATTCATTAAGAACTATTTCACGTATTCTCTGTGCAGTAGAATGTCCTTTTATGCTGTCTGGTTTATCCCATTTGGCACACCCCTGAGCCAGCCTTCTCTGAGTAGAGTCTTCCCTGGGTGGCAGATACCAGACCATAACTGCTCTTCCAGGAGTCCTATAGCAGTGAGGGGCTAAAGTATACTGCTTTCTGCATTCATCTAGTCAAAAACACATGAAATAGATAGTTGGTTGCATGTGTTTACATAGGATAGCCTCCTTACTCTGATAAGAATTGGAATTTGAATTATTTTTCTATGGGGAAGGACAGAAGAGATTTTATCAAATAAGCAATGTTTTTTGAGGATTAAATTTCATATACCTCTATTTCTTGGTTAAATTTATGATTTTTCCTTACTAGGCTTGCCCGCCTGTCAGTATGGATATTTGTGCTTTGAGAATACAGCTCTTCATAGGCTTGAAAGCCATTTGTCACTTTAAAAACCATGTCATACTTTTGACTAAGGCAGACTCTGAGTCTACTCCAGAGAGAAGAGAATCACCCAAGAGGCTTCTGTAAGCATCCCCTTGCCCCCAAACACTTCTGCCAGAGTTTTTGGAATCTATTGTTATATCTACTGGTATATTTTATATTGTCTTAGTTTATCATTTTTTAAATCAAAACTTTGAATGATCATATGAGTTTTCTGTGATGTTCTTTGTTCAGAGAATGGAAAGAAGGTACTAAAAATCTCTGTATTATCCTTTATAATTGACTTTGGAACTTTTGGAAGAATATGGTTTTCACGAGATAAAAATAATAAAATAGTTTCCGTAAGTATTTGTGGTATTTTTAGGTAAGAAGTTGAAGAACCTACTTTTCTGTCCTTTTGTCTGTAAGTAATGGGAGAAAGCAGAACCTCTAATGCTAATCTAAACTACAAGGAGCTTTGCTGACATTTTTTTCTTTCACCTTTAAGTCATTAAATGTTTACCCAAAGATTATTTTCTGGTATTTTATTTCAAAAGAAATGCTTTTTTGTTATTACATGCAGGAATAATTTTTTAAAATTCATTTATTTTTTTATTTTTATCAGGATTTCATTGACATAAAGCACTGTAGAACTTTAAGGTGTACAGCATATGGACTTCACTTACACATTTGTAACTAAAGTGAAATGATTGCTACAATAATTTCAAAAGAAGTCAATATATTTCTTTTTTTAAAAAGATTTATTTATTTATAAAGGTAAATATTTATTTATATTTATTTTAAAGATTTATTTATTTATTTATACTGGGGTATAGGCCAGAGGACGGGAGGGTGAGAGAATTCACCAGAGACAGAACAGGGAGCAGAACAGGCAGACAGACGGAAGTACACCGCTGAAGGGAGCAAGGGGTGAGACAGGAGAGGTCTGTCACACCATGTGGGAATCTCCCTGGCCGGCTGGGAATCGAACCTGTACTGCAGAGGCTGCGGACAGTTTCACAGCACTACACTCAACCTGCTGCACCACCGCGGAGGCCCAGTAATGTATTTCTTACCTTAAGCTCATACATAATGTTAGATATGTGCTGATATACCTTAAAATAAAATTCCTTTTTTTTTTTTTTTTGTGAAGTCAGTTTAATGTGTGTTGAGGAATTAAAGGATCACTCATTTTCAACACATAAACATTTAGGATTGTTTTGATTGCCAGTCTTCACTTTTAATTTTTATTTATTTTTGTTGCAATAGCATTGATTTATATCATTGCATATGATTCAGAGGTTCAGGTTCATGCATACCACAAAGGCACCCACAGTCTACCACCATAGTTAATCGGACCCCATCTACACCATTTTCTCCATCCTCCCTTCTTTTATAGTCAGACTTCCAAGGTTTGTTACAGTTTGGTTCTGTCTGACCTTTTTTTTTTAATTTCTCTATATTCTACCTAGAGGTGAAATCATCTAGTATTTGTGTTTGTCCCCCTGACTTATTTTGCTTAGCATTATCTCCTCTTGAATTAGTGTTTATGCATTCTTCTGGTAGATACATAAGAGTAGAAATGCTAAGTCTTATAGTAGATGTATTTTTAATATTTTGGAAAAGCTCCATGCTATTTTTCATAAGGGCTACACCAATTTAGGTTTCTGCCAAAAATTTATAGCATTTCTTTTTTCTCCGCATCGTCACCAACACTTAATTTTTTCTGGTCTTTTTGGTAGGGACTGTTCTCAAGGGAGTGATGTGGTATTTCATTGCGGTTTTAATTTGCATTTCTCTAATAATAAGTGATGTTAAGTGGGCCTCCCCTGTGGCACAGCGGTTGAGCGCTGGGCTGCGAAGCTGCCCCGCAGCCTCTGCAGCGCCGGTTCGATCCCTGGCTGCCGGGCAAGGGTCCCATATGGCACGCATACCTCTCCTGCTGCCCACTGCTCCCCTCAGCAGTGTACTTGGTCGGTCTGCCTGTTCTGTTCCCCGCTCTGGCTCTGGTGAATTCTCCCACCCTCCCACGCTTCTGACTGTACCCAGTGCTTGTATAAATAAATAAATAAAATCTTGAAAAAAAAAAGTGGTGTTAACATTTTTTTTTAATGTGCCTTTTGGCCATCTGTATGTCTTCCTTAGAGATGTGCCTACCCAGCACTTCGGCCAATTTTTTGACTGTGTTTTTTTTTTTTTTCTATTTTTTGAGTTATATTAGTTCTTTGTAAATCTTGGATATCAGCCCCTTTTCAGATGCAATAAATGATAGGTTTTCCACTGTACAGAAATAAATGATAGGTTTTCCACTGTACAGAAACTTTTTAGTTTGATGTAGTCTTATTTGCTTATATTCTTTTTTGTTTCTCTTGCCATTGGGTACAAATCCCCAAAGACATTACTGAATCTAGTGTCATGCAGTGTTTTTCCTATGTTTTCTTTATATGTATTTTATGGTTTCAGGTTTTACTTCCAAGTCTTTAATCCATTTTGAGTTAATTTTGTTATGTGATATGATATAGTGATACAGTTTCATTCTTTTGCCATGTGACTGCAGTTTTCCCAGTACCAATTTTTGAAGAGACTTTTCTTACTCCATCGTATACTCTTGATTCCTTTGTTGTAGATTAACTGTAGATTTAAGTGCAGGCTTTCCATTCTTTTCTGTCCATCTTTATATCTGTTTTATTCCAGTACCATTGGCTATTTTGCTTAATATCTTTGTTATGTAGTTTGAAATTAGGGAGAACAGATATTGCTGTATTTGTTTGGCTATTTGCTTTGGCTATTTGGGATCATTTTAGGTTCTAGGTGAATTTCAGTAATGTTTGTTCAATTTCATTAAAGAATGTCATGAAACTTTGATATAGGGATCTCACTGAGTCTGTATTTTGCTTTGAGTAAGATGCCATTTTAACAATGTTGATTATTCTAATCCAAGGCAATATCTTTCCATTTTTTGGTGTCCCATTTCTTTTATCCATGTCTTTATAGTTTTCATTGTATAATTCCTTCACCTCTTTTGTTAAGTTTATACCTAGGTATTTAATTCTTTTTGATGTAATTGTAAATGGTATTGTTTTCTTGATTTCTTTCTCTTCTAGGTCATTGTTTGCATAGAGAAATGCAACTGATTTTTACTCACTCAGTACAGTAGTATGTTATTCAATCTCCAATTTTAGAAGTGTTTCCAGCTTTCTTTTTCTGATATTTCTAACTTTATATGATTGTGATCACAGAAGATATAATTTCATTAAAAGATATAATTGATATAATTTCAATCCTCATTAATTTATTGACATTTGTTTTGTGATCCAACATGTGATCTGTCTTGGATAATGTTCCATGCACACCTGAGAATATGTGCACAGCTTTTTTGTGGCATAGTGCCTTGTATATATTAAACTTAAGTGGCCATTGTTTCCTTGTTATTTTCTGTCTGGTTGGTATGTCCATTGGTGAAAGTGGACTATTGAGTTGTTGCCAGTGTCTGTTTTTAGATTGGATAATGGTTGCCTTATATATTTTGGTGCTCATTCCATTCTCTCCTTCCCCATAGGGTTTCCTCAGAGAAGTCTGAGGTAAGCTTGTTGGGTATACCTTTTTAGCTTACCTGATATTTCCCCCTGGCCACCTTTGCTATTCCTTCTTTGTTTTGAACTGTTAGTAGCTTCACAACTGTGTGTCTCAGTGTAGGTAATTGCATTTAGATAACTCGGTATTCTTTTAGCTTCATGGACTTTTATATTTAGTTCTTCCTGTAGGTTTGGGAAGTTTTTCTCTATTATTTCTTTGAATAAGTTCTCTGTTCCCTTCTTACTCTCTTCCCTTTCTGGGATACCCATGAGCTGTATGTTACTTTTTCTAATAGAATTAGATAGTTCTTGAATTTTTTTTTTAAATATTTATTTATACAAGAAATCAGGTACAGGCCTGATGTGTGGGAGGGTGAGAGGATTCACCAGAGACAGAGCAGGGAACAGAACAGGCAGACTGATGAAATACACTGCTTAGAGGAGCAGCAGGCAAGACAGGAGAGCTCTGCCACGCCATGTGGGACCCTCGCCAGCTGGCTGGGATCGAACTGGCACTGTAGTGGCTGCGGACAGCTTCACAGTGCTGCGCTCAACCGCCTGTGCCACCAGGGGAGGCCCAGTTCTTGAAATTTTAAAAATAATTTCTTCATATTTTTCTTTCTTCTGCCATCTGTGTTCTTTCTGCATTATTATCTTCAAGATCACTGATTGGTGCTCCATTTGTTGAGTGACTGCCATAGTTTTCTACAGGAATTTTATTTCTTCTTTTGATCTTTTTATACCCTGCAACTATCTTATTTTTGTCATTTAAATCTTCTATTCTAATTTTTCTTTCTAATATTTTAAATTCTTATCTATTTTAATTCTAATCTAATCTGTTCTGTCTTCTATTTTTTGTTCATTAATTGCACTTCTCATGACATTCATTAGTTTCTCTGAATTTTGCTGTATCTTTGGATTAGTTTTTTCTACATTCTCTTGAATCACTTAGACTTGCTTTTCTGTATTTCTTCTATTTCTTTGTGTTTCTGTCAGTTACCAGGACAATATTAAATTTTTTATCTGATAGGAAGATAAAATCTTCCATGGCTGGTTGGATTCTGTATTGTCGTCTCTCCTTGTGGTGTCATATTCCTTTGAGGTCTGAAGTTGTCATGTGTTGTGTTTTGTTTTTCTCTCATTTTGCTGTTTTTGATCCTAGAATTGAACAACTACTACTTGTCCAGTAGGTGGTGCTGTGATGTTTATATGATTTTGGTGTTTGGTCTACTGAGGTTTCAGTAGGTCTGAGATCTGATCTTCTAGATGCTAAGTTGGGATAGAGTGAAGCTTGGAAGCATCAGGGTTCTCTTGTGAATGCTGTGGAGAAGTACAGGCTTGTGTTTGTGGCACTGCTGATAGCTCTTCTTTCCTGGTGTTCCAAATAAAAAATCCTGTTCTCTCTCTGCATTCTCAGTGAATCTTACATTGTCAATACCATTGGGAGATTTGGGAAGGGGGAGTGGAGCCCAGTGTACTGTCCTGGTTCATTCCACAAGGACCAGGCACTCTGGGACATCCTGACTCCTGTGTGTGTATTTCCCCTTAGTCAGAGGTTTGTAGGCCCACACCATTCAGCTTCCACCACCCTGTGGCTTATAGCTAAGTGGCAGTGGTGGTTTTAAGGCAACATCATGCCCAAACACAGTTTGCACACATCTTTCTCCACCCACCTCTCATTCACTGAAGCTTGAATCTTCTCCATGTCTTTTCTGGCACAGTCTGCCTATTCTCTGATATCAGGAGGTATTCCAGTTTGCCCCAAGTCAGCAGGCTTTCTGGTGCAATATTCCACTAGTTAACTTAGATGATCCGCTGGAGAGTGACGTGAGGAGTTTCCTCTCTAAAATTGCATTTTGATAACAGTAGGTTCTGGTTCACTACTGGGTTTTCTGTTTTCACACTGTTTAGAATAGAATGCTTAACTTCAAACTAACTATGCTTCTATTCAATATTTTTAAATGCAATGAAATCTGATTGTTTTTAAATGGAAGATTTACTTAGGAAAGCACTTTTTGGGGGAAGATAAGCATAAAACATATTTAAGGAAAAGTTGCTTTTTTATTTTTAACATGAATTTTTGCATTTTAGAAGTGTTTATGTCTGTGCTTTCTTCTAGTAATAGAAATAATTCAAGCTTAACTTGGGCAATTGATGACTTAGTATGGGCAGTAAGTCTGAGACTCATCCTAAAAGCTTTCTGACAAGAGGAAAAGCAGTTTGTGATCTTGCACACTTGATGTTTTAAAAACATTTTATTTTCTAAAATGTCATAAAGTTATAATTTATTTGAAAATTTATTTAGTCAAAGGTTTACATTTAAAAAAATCTGACACTAAAGAAAATGTATCACATAGTCAAAAAAAGAGGTTAGATAGTGTTTTAAGCAAATTCATGGTTGTATGCATCTTCTGTGTTTTCCCAGCAGCTGTGAGTGTTTGGCCTGTTACTCTGTTGGAACTTCTGCTGAGATTTGTGGTGCAGGACATGCTGGCCTCATGAAGACTACATGCAGGAGAATACCTGGGCATAGGGACTTTCCACAGCCAAGTCTTTCTTCCTTTTGAGGGGCCTTACCTGTTTTTTTGCCCTTATTGCCCATTTAGAATACTTGTGGAATGAATTCAAAGACAAGCCAATGAGAGCTGTAGAATTTTAAATATTGTAGGCTTGTAAGGCATTGTGAACTAGTGTTCTATAAAAATTGAAGAAATTATTAAATGAAAATTGCGTAGTTATTTTATATGTCCAGTATTTATCATTAAAATTGTCATTTTAAAATATATCTTATTTTATAATTATTGTCTTTTGTTTTGCTTTTAGTTCTAGAAAAGATACCAGTGCTAAGCTCAAAACATCTCCTGTAGCTGAGGCTGGTTGGAATTTATATATTGTGAATACAGTCTCACCGGTGCAACTATACAAGGAAATGGTACTGCTTTCAGACTTCTGATTTCTTATTTGTAGAATTTAAAATGGTGTTGATGACCACAAATTAGTTCTAATTATCATGCATTCAGGTTGTCATAGCAAACCAGCTTCCAGTCCTTCACAGTAAATTATCTTTCTCCACCTTCTGTTTTTACAGTTCCTGGCATTTGTGTGACCAGTAGAAATGTTTAGTAAAAGATGATTTCCTTATTTATACTCTTCTCTACAGTGAGGATTGATTGGCCAGTCTATACGTAAATAGCTTTTCACCCCAGCCTAAAGAACCAGGAAATGGAACTAGAAGAAATTTCAGATCATTTATCTCTCTCACTCTTTGAAAATATTAGTAGATTGCCCCAGGGCACTGTAGCTACTGTGTGCATCCTTGCTCCTTTCTAAGAGTAACAGCTGCCTACTCATCCCTGACAATTTTTTAAACTATTTTGAAATTATGTCAAACTTAAAAGTCGCAAGAATCAGTAGTACAAATAAAGCCTATATATTCCCCATACAGATTCATCTGTAATCAGTATTTTATCTCTTTTGCATCTGTCTTTGTTTATTTTTGTTGTACTTTACACTATCTAAAAACACACACTGTGCTTCCCTGGTGGCCTAGGGATTAAGTCTCAGCACTATCACTTCTATGGCCTGAGTTGGATCCCAGGCCAGGAAGCTAACCCACATAATGGCACAGCAGACTTCTGTCTAGCCCGCTGCTCCCCTCAGCAGTGTATTTCAGTAAATCAGCTTGTTCTGCTCCTTGCTTTGTCTCTGGTGAATCTTCTTAACCCCATACCTCTGGCCTACACCCTAGTTCTACTACAAAAAACACACACACATGCACACACTTTTTTTCTGATTCATTGGAAGGTAAATTGCATGATCATGGCCTTTGCCCCTAAATGCTTCAGTGTCTGTTTCCTAAGAGTTGGGTGATTTGCTTACATAATCATAGGACAACCATATACAGTAGTAAATTTAACATCCAACATAGTACTTTATTTATCTGATGTACAGGTCATATTCTAATTTTGTCAGTTGGCACAATAATGGTCTAATAATCATATCCCCACGCCCCCATTCCAGTATCCTGTCACACATAAACTAGTGTATGTAGTTCGTAATTATTGTGTGTCTTTAGCTTTCTTTAATCTGGTATATGTCCACAGCCTTTCTTTATTTTTCTGACGATAGAACCATTTTTGAAAAATGTATTTTTCCCCTTCCACCTTTTTTTGTCGAGAGGGTTTTCTCATTTTGAATTGTTTGAATTTATTTTTGTAATTATATTCAGTTTATGTATCTTTCTTCAAAATATTTTCTAGAAAATTTCATAGGTGTTGTTTCTTTTTAGGGTATTACATTGGAAGGTACATGATGTCCATTTGCCTGTCATTGGTGGTGTTAATTATGATCATCAGGTCAAGGTTTTGCCTGATTTCTCCCTGGCAGTCTGATGTTGATCATTACATCAGCTTTGTTGTCCTTTCAGTCTTGTTTAATTGAAAGTCTTAAATTTCACCTAGATGTTTTGCCTACTGTAGTCTGAAAATACGGATTGACTTAGATTTGCAAGTGATAATTTTTGTAAGCCCACTGTGACTTTGAGATGGATGTGGTAGTTCCTAACTTTACAGATTGAAACTAAAATTAGGAAAGGATATTTAATCTGCATTTGAAGAAGATTTAAATGACAGAGTTTTAAAAAAACCTAATACCTAAGTGATAGGTATTTATTAGCTTTATCAAATTCTGATAAAATTATTAACTATTCTTAATATTACAGTATTATTTTACTTTCTGTCATGATTACACTAACAAAGGACTGTTTATAATAATGTATGTATTAAACTATGGGAGAAATGAAACACTTGAGCTAAATCCTATCAGAATGATAATTAACCACTTTTTAATTTATTTTTTAGGATTTAATGTGTCTAAATATTAACTTTACTGGCAAAATACATAGATATTTTTAAGAACTGGGAAACTTTTGGGGGAATCTTTCTACAGCAGTTTCAGCTATTTGTCTTTCTTATTGTAGATAGACTACAGTAATACCTATAAGACTGCTAAAACCCAGAGCTGCATCCACCTTCTCAGTGAGGCTCATCTGATAGTGAGAGCTGCCCTTATGGATGCCAGTCAGCTGGAACCTGAAGAACAAGCAGAGCTTTTAGAAGCATTTAAAGAAAGCTGTGGCCACCTTGGAGACTGCTTTAGCAGGTTGGTGATGCTTCTTATTAGAGAAGCCATCTTGAGCTTTGGGTATATTTACTAACTTTTCAATCTCTGGTAATTACCTGATAAATGGGGAAATGCATGAAGGAAGTAGTTTGTTTCTTCATTTCTTCCACAGGCATTTGTTGAGCACTATTGTGTGTCAGGTATTTTGCTAGGCGTAGAGATACCAAGATGAACATGACCCAGTACATTGTCTATCTTCAGGGAGTTAGTTTCTTAGGTGAACAGTCCACCTCAAATGTATGTCTCTCCCATCACTTAATTTGGGAATTTGAAGTTTTTTTTTCAGAGCTTGAGAAAGGGTGCATAACCAGTGAAAAATCCTGAGCTAGCCATAGTACTAGTTTATTGTCTGTTAACTTAAGGGAGAGATACCATTTTGACAATCTGTGATTTTAATCATAGTGGTCAGTGTTTTTATGATAGCAGAGAAAGGACCTAAGGATGAATAATGATTTTTATTTTTAAGAATGGTATTTATACATTATTGATATATGTTATTTCAAAAGCTTACTTGACCCATGGGAATAATTGTAAATTAATGAATCAGAATTTTTCTACCCATAAGCTCCATTATTTAAGAACTACATTATGAGTATTAAAATTCACTGAATGAATTGTTTATCTATTTTTAATATGAGAAGGCAGAAAGAAACCTAGTCTTTTCTTAATTGTTAGAATGACTTTGCAGAACAAAAACTTAGGAGTTTGTTCTAACCATTAAACATTTTGAGATTTATATCTCCTGGCAACATGATCTGTTTCATTATCAACTGTGTTAGATATCAAGCTTAAAAATGACAAATTGAGGATATTTTACTTCTTTTCCTTTAGGCTTGATACTCAGTATTCCCACCTCGCCTTGCCATACTATAAGATGTCTGGCTTGTCTATGGCTGAAGTTTTAGCCCGAGTGGATTGGGCAGTAGAGGATGGATTGCAGAAATATGAGAAGGGATTAATCTTTTACATAAATCATTCACTTTATGAAAACCTGGATGAAGAATTAAGTGAAGTGAATATAGTTTTCTATTTAATTATATCTAATATTTGTAATGTTTTATCTGAGCAATTTACTTCATGTAGTACAATTTAGAAGTCAAATCCCAAATATTTTTCTTGGGTATGATAGTCTTTTCCTAAAAAGTAACTAATGTGCCACCTTCTTCATTAATAATCATAGAATTACAGCTTAGAAAAGATATAATCTCATCCTTTCTTACAATGCAGCTGAGAGAATGTGGACCATTGTGGTTGAGTGACCTGCCCAGCATGTCAGTGGCATGTCTTGAAAGAAATACACAGGAGTCTCGCCTGCCTTCTATTGCATGTAACCCTTACCACAAACCTAGTTGCCCCCATTCTCCAAGTGTTCAAAACTTCACTTTTGAAATCTTGGTCCAGTGAACTTAAGACATTATTAAGGATTTTTTTAGGCGCTCATGTATTTTTAAAGAGTTGAATGCAAGTATGCAAAATTGGATATTGTGATACTAAATGAGAGAAATGAAATTTCCTCATAAGTCATTAAGTATATTTTGTACTAAATAGTAATTTTTATAATGAAATTTTGAGTGAATTTAATAAAATATTTGTGTTCTACTTCTGAGCTGTTGTTAAAATTAGAAATGCTAGCCACAGCATAGTACATATTTTCACTGCTTTTTCTTCATTATAATTCAGCAAAGAGTCACTTTAAGTCATGTTAGATTCCCCATGTCACTATCAACTGTTTTTTTAATCAAAACATAATTCTAATAATTTTGTCTTAATTTTTTTCTCAGTTGCATGTTTATATCTTGACTTTGTATCTTTTTTATGTTTTGACTTTGTTGCTTTCTGATCTTTCACTTCTTGTTCATGCTTACCAAAGGAATTAGCAGCAAAAGTGGTTCAGATGTTTCATGTGGCAGAGCCAAAACAACTGCCCCATATTCTCTGTACTCCTTCTATGAAGAACATTAACCCTTCAACTGCCTTGAGCTATCTAAGGAAATTGGATACTTCTGATTGTTCATCAGTATTAGTGACATTGGCCAAAGCATCAATAGCTCTGAAAATGGGAGATCTTGACCTGTATAAGAATGAAATTAAAAACCATTCAGAGGTATGGTACTCTGCCTGTTATTAATGGAGGCTGCAGATAGGATCTGTAATCTGAGGTGTTTACCTTTCTTCTGGTTTCTGTCTAGCTCATTTTTTCTTAGTTGGAAAGTAATAATTAGAAAGTAAGTGACCCAAAATGGGGTAAGTTGGGGCTTTGTATCTGACAAATGAAAAAAACAAGTATGAGAAATGGCAACAATAGATATTCAGATTTCTTTCCACTTACTGTCAGTTACATTCAGAGCACTGTGCTTGGTACTGAAGAATATGGGCACTGCCCTGAGCTGACTTTCTGATCTGTCATGAAGGGTGTGTTTGTCCACATAACAGAGTGATGTGTACTGAGAACTTATTATGTCCCATGCATAATCTAAGCCCCTCGAATAGGGATTATCTTACTTAATTTTTGCAACTATGCTTTGAGGAAGTGGTTATTATACCTATTATACATAGGAGGAACTAATATTAAAAAAGATTAAATAATTTGTCCGGAGTCATACAGCTGGTAAATGAGTGGTAGAATCTGGATTTGAAATTGGCAATCTGGGTCCTGTGTTGTTTTTGTTGCCTGAATGTGGACAGATGCCCACAGTATGGCTTTGGTTTCTAAAAAAAGAGGGGAAGAAGTGCTTTATTACTGTACAAATGAATGTTTTGTTATGATGAGATTGCAAGTCAACATTGAGATGTCCTGCACTTTGAAAAGTAAATTTTAGATAAAATTTCTTTCCATAATTTTGAGAAGACCTAAAGGTATATTGTTTTTAAATCAAGTAGACTTAAATTTAAAACTCTACAAAAATAGGACATTTTGATGTTTACTATAGTAACCCTTATAAAGATAATTAACAATGATATCCTTCTTAGAGTGATACCTAGTCTTTGTAATTAACGAAAAAATCGACATTAATGTAAATTATTAATAGTTAAACCATGAAACTTGAATGTGCTTGCATATATTCCTAAGATGGACAATCTGAATACATTCTGTTCCTAAATTTCTTTTTTATCTGAAGATGAACTTTGTACGTGGCTTCATTCTGGAACCTCGGCTATTAATTCAACAGAGGAGGGGACAGATTCATCCAACTGAGCTTGCTGTTTACTTGAAGGAAACTCAGCCTGGATTGCTGGTGGCTTCAGTCCTAGGCTTGCAGAAGAGCAGCCATATTGGAATTGAAGAAGCAGATTCCTTCTTCAAGGTTTGGCACTTTGAAAATGTAGTTATTCTGCTTGGCCTTGTAAAAGTGGTGGGTGTGGAGAGCAGGATAAGAGAAGTGAGCTTTTTATTTCTTTTTTGAAAGAAAAAACAGACTCGCACAACCAGTTTATAAAATACAAGTAAAAATTAAATAAGGGTATCTGGAGAAATTCCATTCATGCAGCCTAAAAACTGTTTCCTGTTAAAATGTCTAAGTGAGTTTTTGCTGTGGCCCTTATGCTAATGGTAAATTATTAAATGCTTGACCCAAATGATGGTGTGATATTCAAATCAACTGTAACTGGATCAATGATATATTTAACTGGGCCTTGGGGACTTGTTTCACTGTTTTCAAGGTGCTTTGTGGTAAGGATGAAGGTACAGTTCCTCAGCTCTTGGTAGACTTCTGGGAAGCTCAGCTGGTAGCATGTCTCCCACATGTGGTACTTCAGGAACTCTTCCACAAACTCATATCACAGTACATCTGGAGATTATCTAAGAGGCAGCCCCCTGATACCACACCATTGCAAACATCAGAAGATCTGGTAAGATAATGAGAGAATATGTTAAATTAAACCCTCACCTTATACATTGTAATAAACCTTCCTTTTTATGACTTAGAATCAAACCTGATTTATATATTACCAGACATCTCATTGAAGCAGGAGTCAAAAATTCACTTAAAACTAAATCTGTAAGTGAAGTTGCCCACATTTTTAGTAATTTTATATTCTAAGGAACACCCTCATCTGCTCCTATATTATCTGCTTGCAATTGTGCCTCACCAACCAAAGAAAGGGGGAAAGAACTTTCCTCAAAAGGTGACATCTGTTCTCCCTGAGGGAATGGTCCTGAAGTCACCTTCATGAGAAAAGAGACACCTGCAGATCTCCCTGATGGCAAAGGGATGGCAGAGACTTGGGAAACACTTCCTACAGAGCCCCCATTTCCTGTTGTTTGCACACACAAGAGCAGGTCTACAGCCCTCATGGCAATGGCAGCCCTAAAAAGTCTTTTTTTTTTTTTTTTTTTAAACTTTTCCGCCTCCTTTCTCCTTGCTGACTCCTTTGCCTTTTGGGGGTTCACCGGAAAAATCACTCATTTCTTGAGTAAGGGAGACTTTCTGAGAATTGCCTTGAAAACTCATGGAAGAGATTTTTGTCTCCTAAGAAAAGTAATAAAAATGCAAATTATTTTCAGTATTACTGTTAACTTAAAAAAAAATTAGCTTAAAAGCAGTGTGGCACTTTATAATAAAAAGTGCTGCTTTGTAATACTTTGAAATTTTAAATATAAGGAAGTATTTAGTGCAGATTTATTCAGGAAGAAGCAGCAAGTCTGAAATTTTTTCCAGGGAAGTACATTGTAAAAGGCTTTTCCTCCCATCCAGAGAGAGTATAAGCTTAATTCTGCACCATGGCAGAGGATTAGCAATTGCTTAGTCTTTGTAAAATGGATGAAGAAAGTCTTATTTTATTGCATTTTTGTTTATGCAAAATTTTTTTGTTTCAGATAAATGCATGTAGTCATTATGGCTTAATCTATCCATGGGTTAATGTCTTAATATCATCTGAAACTTTACCGGATAAAGATTATGCAGAAGACCTTTCAAAATTGCAGGTCAGTAATATACACATGCATATCATTATATAATATAAGATTTAAATTTGGTAAGACCTCAGGTTTCCTGGTAATGTAGTGTGTTATTTATATTCATTTTCATTTTGGGGGTTATATATTTGCTTTTCAGATATACATGTTCCACTCACCCACCACCAAACCACCCTTGTCAGTACCCCATCTGCCCCCCTCTCTATCCCCATCTGCCCATTATTTCACTAAGTCCAAGATTTCTTCATGTTGTATTTGCTTGTGTGTTTTTGGTTATTTATATCCCTGTCAAATTTTTTCTTTATCTTTGATTTTAGATAGTTTGACAGTTAGTGTCTCAATTAGGTCCTTTTGCATTTAAAAATTTAGGTATTCTCTCCTTGCTTGACACCCATATATATTTAATTACTTTTGGGAAATTATCAGTTACTTATTTGAAGAGGGTTTCTGTTGCCATTTCTCTCTCTTCACCTTCTGGGATCACAGTTATCCTTAATTGCCCTCTCTTACTTGGCTGATATTTCTTGTAGAGTTTCCTCATTTTTCTTTGTCTTGATTATTTGACTTTTTCTAAATGGGTGATTTGTTTCCTTGAGTCTTCTACATCTGTAATTCTTTTTTTCTGCCAGTTTAATTTTATTTAAGTCACTTCCTAAATTTGTCTGCATTTTATTTAGAATCTCTTTTTATCATCTTTTTATATATTCAATTTCTTTGTTGAAGAGCTCTCTTTATTCCAGGATGTTATGTCTAAGATCTTGCACCTGCCTATCTGCATTTGATTGACCTTGTGGTAGCTCATTTACCATTTTTAGTATTGTTGTTTTGAAGTCATCAATAGGTTCTCTATTTTTATATCCTTTATATTTGTTCTAGGACTTTTATTCTTCTCACTTTGCTTCCCTTGCTTCCTAGGCATGTATGTTGCTTTATTTGCTTTTGTGAGTGAGGTTGGAGCACTGAGAATTTAGTTTTGTTTAGTTCTCATTTTAATGGTATGAGGTAGGGGCAAGAGTGGTATCTGGGGCTTTTAATACTTGATCACTGCTTACCTACCTCTTTTTTTGTTCCATAGCAGGCTGCATTCTATGCTTAGGTCATCTTAACTCCCCACTCTGCTGCCCTGCTTCTCCTTTCTGTTGTAGGTCATAATCTGGTGGCTGGGGGGTGGGGTGGTGGGGAGCTAGGGAATTGGGGTGGTGGGGAGCTAGGGAATTGGGGTGGTGGTGCTAGTTCTGCACTGCTACACTCATACCTGGGATCAATTTGCACTTGTCTGGGAGGTGGCGAGTGGGCATATGCCAGCATGTGGCTGTGGCCACCAATAATGGCCTTTACTGGTCCACCCCTGCCTCTGCTGCTTCTTCTGTGGGGCTGCAATATTTGCATTCCTAGACAAAAATAATGAACTAGCAAAAAGAGAAATCAGAAAGACAATCCTATCTCTAATCACATGAAAAAGAAATACCTTGAATTAAATTTAATCAAAGAAATTAAAAACCTATACACAGTCAACTATAGGATGTTGTTAAAAGAAATAGAAGAATCACATGAAAGATAATCTGTGTGCATGGATTGGATGTAGTAATATCATCAAAATGGCTGTATTACTAAAGCAGTGTACAGATTCAGTGCAATCCCTGTCAAAATCTCAATGACATTATTAACAGGAATAAAAAAAAAACCATGAATTTTTATTTGGAACTATAAAAATAAAGAACAAAATAAGTAACAAAAAGAGAAAATAAAGAACAAAGAACAAAAATAAAGAACAAAGAGAAAATAAAGAACAAAAATGGAGGTATGATGCGCCTCACCTTTAAACTATACTACAAAGAGAAGGTAATGGAAAGCATTGGGATAAAAATAGATCTCCAGGGACCTTCCTGGTGGTGCGAACGGTTAAGATACAACCTCTGAAGCTGACTGCAGCCATTGCGGCACAAGTTCCAACCCTGGCCAGGGAGCTACCCACATGGTGCAGCAGACCTCTCCTGACTTACCCGCTGCTCCCCTCAGCAGTGTATTTCAGTCAGTCTGCCTGTTCTGTTCCCCACTCTGTCTCTGGTGAATCCCCACACCTCTGGCCTGTACCCCAGTTCTTGTATGCATAAATAAATAAATCTTTAAAAAAAAAATAGATCCCCAGGTCAATGAAACAAAATGAAGAACCCAACACATATGGACTAGTTTACTGCAAGGAACTAAGTGCTTACCAACAAGGAAAATCTCTCCAATAAATGGTGCTGGGAAAATTGAACCACCACATGAAAAAGAGTGAAACTACACAGCTATATAACACCATACACAAAAGTTAATTTAAATGGATTAAACTAGTATATAAAACTTGAAACCATAAAACAAATGGAAGAAAACATAGGAATATCTTCTTTGACATTGACCTTAGAGTTATATTTGGGGACTTAACTCCAAAAGCAATGGAAGCAAAGCAAACCTAAATGGTTTTACATCATACCAAAAAAATTTCTGCCATGGTGAAAGTAATGTGCACCAAAATGAAAAGATGTCCAACTGAATGGGAGAATGTATTTGTTACAGAATATTCTGGCAAGGGGCTAATATCCAAAATATACAAAGAAGCCCTGAAATTTAATAATAAAGAAATGAACAGTTTAGAAATGGCTAGAGGATCTGAATAGATACTTCTTCGCAGAAGGCATACAGGTGGCCAGTAGGCACATGAAATAATGTTCATCATTTCCTATCAGAGGGCGATCTGGCCTTATCCAGCCTTGAAGTAAGCTGAAAGACTTCTCCCCACCTCCCAGCCTGGTTCCAAACCCTGCCCAGCTCTGGACACCAAAACTCCTGGGTCCTAGTCCCAGTCAGCGTTAGGGTAAACTCCAGCACCATACCAAACCCCATGAGGCCCCAGCTGCTGGGCCTACCAACTGGTAAATGCCCAGTACAGTGAGAGTGAGGACCCTTAACAAAAAAAACCCGGCTACAGCAGAATAAGCCAAAAGAAAACCATGGGGAGAAAGAAAATTACAAATGACTAAGCAAGTCCCCAAGGGAACAGAGAGAGAACCACAAAGAGTAAACAAATCTCCAGAACCAAGTCACAGATACAGAACTCAAAACTGCCATAAATAAGAAACCAAAGAATTGGAACAATACAAAGAAAACCTGCTATGAGAAAAATGCAAATTAAAGCAACAATGAACTATCACCTCATGGCTTAGAGAATGGCTGTTACCCAAAAGACAAGAGCAAGTGTTGGAAAGGATATGGAGAAAAGGAAGTCCTTATACACTATTGGTGGGACTAAATTTGTGCAATCATTATGGAAATGAGGATGGAGATACCTCAAAAAATTAAAAATATAAGTTCCATAAGATCCAGTTATCTCATTTCTTAGCATTCACCTGAAAAGTGCATAAATTTGAAGAGACACACACCCCATTTTTATTGCAAAATTATTTACAATAGCCAAAACTGGAAACACAAAACTGTCTACTGACTAACGATTGGATGAAGATGTACATACATACAACAGAATAATATTCACCCATTAAAAAAAAGCTGAAATCCTGCCATTTGTAACAACATGGATGGGCATGGAAGGTATTAATGTTTAGTGAAATACGCCAGAAGGAGAAAGACTAACACCATATGATTTTATTTGTATGTTACCTATAGAGAAAAAAACAAACATGAACTAAACACAAAAAATAAGCTTTCATACTGTGAAACCAATTAATGATTACCAGAGGGAAGGGGGAAGATAGTTGCTAAATTGGGACATAGGTACAATGTATACTGAAGGATAAAATTGGAAATTTAGTGGAATTTTAAAAGTTGGTATATGCAGATACTGATTTTTAATTATGCACATTCAAAGCCTATACAATGTTACAATGCAGTGTTACTTTAGTAAAAATGTATCAACAGTAAAAAGTAAAAGCACAAAGTTCTATTTCTTAAAAAAAAGTAAAGCACTTTATGTTAAAAAAATAAAATCCAGGACCTCCCCTGGTGGCGCAGGTGGTTGCTTTGTGAAGCTGTCCGCAGCCTCTGCAGCTCCTGTTCGATCCCGGCCGGCCGGCGAGGGTCCCACATGGCATGGCAGACCTCTCCTGTTGCACCCGCTGCTCTCTTCAGCAGTGTATTTCCTCAGCCTGCCTGTTCTGTTCCCTGCTTTGTCTCTGGTAAATCCTCTCACCCTCCCGCTCATCTGGCCTGTACCCTGGTTCTTGTATAAATAAATAAATAACTCTTTAAAAAAAAATCCATTTCAGAGAATTGAAAAAAGCATACATCAGTCTGTCTAAACTTTCATGGCTCTTTCTAGATTATCTTGGATTGACTGATCTTAGTCATTAAGAAAAAAATGTCTTCAAGAAACAGATCTCATTTGTTCTCACCTAGAGGAATGGGGAGGTTCAGAATCACCTGGAGAATGTTTTCAACATTGTATGATGCCCCTGCATTCCCTACCTCACCCCTACCACAGAGATTTGATCGACTCTGTCTCTTGTCTTCAATCACTATACTAGTATTTATGTATAAAAATTAAAATCTACAAATTACATGAAAAAAGATTGGTTTTTTAGGTAATTACAATAAATAAATGCCCTTTCCTTGGCCAAAACTGTCGTGTACTCCTCTCCCCACTTTGCTTGTCACCTCCTTTGACAGTCACTATTGTGATTGTGTACGTAGAGAAGACAAGTCTAAATTCCAACACTGCAAAGTCAACTCAGGGTGAATGATATATACCAGAGAAGGGAATAAGTAATACATGTGTTGGTGGTGGAGAGAAGTTACTTTCCAATATTGAAAAATAAAGGGAAATACTCTGCTTGGAACTTTTTATCCAAATATATATATTGTTTGGTGTTTCTTATTTTTAAACTTCTTGACAGATAAAATTAAGTAAAAGTTTATGGGTAATCCGCTTTGCACCGAGTTCTGACTGGTTCATTTTAACCCTGGTTTGAGTTACCCATGCCTTGCCCAGTTACAAGACTTGCATAGAGAGCTGATCTGTGTTTTCTTTCATGTTGGGGGAACCAGTGCATGGAGTTCATCATCCTATTTCATGTTTGCCATCTTATTGTTAGAAAATTATTCAGATGAATACAATAATTGAACTTACAGGAAGGAAAGGAACCAACCTTATTCACCTAGTCACTCCTTGGTACATAATTGGAAAAAAATAATCACGCTAATTGTAAATGGATAGTTCATGTTCCATATCCTCCCATGAGTCTGAGATGATGCTGTTGCAAAAAGAAAAAGACAATCAGAATATGGCCATCTCTTTATCTAGGAGAAAAGGAAAGGGGATATTATTTTGTTGGGTTTTTTTTTGTAAATTTATTTATTTATACAAGTACTGGGGTACAGGCCAGAGGCGTGGGAGGGTGAGAGAATTTACCGGAGACAGAGGAGGAAGCAGAACAACAGAAATACACTGCTGAGGGGAGCAGCAGGTGAGACAGGAGAGGTCTGCTGCGCCATGTGGCAATCTCCCTGGCAGCTGGGAATCGAACCAGCGCTGCAGAGGCTGCGGATAGCTTCATAGTGCTGCGCTCAACCAGCTGTGCCACCTGGGAGGAAGGGGGGGGTGGAGTGGAGGGTTGGGAAGGCGGAGTGGGGGTGGGTGGATATTATTTTGGTAGTAGAATTGAAAGTGGTATTTATATAAATGCTTAAAAGCAACATTGGTGGGCCTCCCTGGTGGCGCAGTGGCTGAGCACTGGGTTGCAAAGTTGCCCGCAGCCTCTGCAGCGCCGGTTCAATCCCCAGCCACCAGCGAGGGTCCCACATGGCGCGTAGACCTCTCCTGCCGTGCCCACTATTCCCCTCAGCAGTGTACTTCATCACTCTGCCTGTTCTGCTCTCCGCTCTGGTGAATTCTCTCAGACTCCCGCACTTTTGACTGTACCCAGTGCTTGTATAAATAAATAAATAAATAAATAAACAAGCAAACAAATAAATAAATAAATCTTTAAAAAAAAAAGCAACATTGGTAAAATTCTAAATATTGAAATAGTACCTGCTGTATGCTTTCAATTTGTGGCAAATGGTTTTGATACAAAGTATTAGGTTATTAACAATTGCTTTAATTTTCTTAAGTGTTAAATTTTATTTTTCATTATACATGTAGTGTATGCTCGTTATAGAAAACTATAGGGAAGTGTGAAAAAAATATATAACTTTGTCTTCCTATCCAGTGACTAATTTCTGCCTCAAAATTTTTTTCTTTTAAATAATTTTTATTTATTTTTTAAATATATTTCTTACATCATTTTTCATTTTTGCGCAATGTATGCATTTTCATCTTGGTTATATTCCCCATACAGTTGCACCCCCTTATTTTGACCAAGCTCTTCCAAAGGTATTTCCACATGTGCATGTACCTGTGTAGATTTTACAAAACTGAGCATATTTGAACATAACTTTGTATTGAGGTATTTTTTAACTTGTCATTTTATCATGTGCAGTTTCTCATTGACTAGCCTTAAATTTATTTTAGTGAATATATAATATTCCATTATGTGAATGTACTATAATTTACTTATATCTTCTTTAAAATTTAGATTGCTTTTGGAATATCACTGGATATAAATCTTTGACTACAATGTTGATTATTTCGTTAGGATAGAGTTCTAAAACATTTCCATTAATTTTATGTTGCAGTATATTCAGAGCTTAAAGAATGATTGCTTTCTGTTAAACAGATCTTTATTCTTTTAGAGCTGTTTCAAGATTACTTAATACTTTAGTCTGCCTAGATTAATTAATTAAATATCAGATTATCTGCTCAAAAATTGCTATTTTGGCAGGTTATGATTAGTCTTTTTTAAAAAGTTGTATTCTATCTGTTGTGCTTTTTTGCTTGACTCATTCCTTCACGTACCATTTTTCTCTTCCTAGTCTCTTCTCTGCAGTCCTTCATTTGACATAGCTTCCATGATTCTGTTCTTGGAGTCATTTTCAGACCACACTATTGCTGGCCTTAGCATTCATGTTTTGTGTCATACACGCTTGAAAAAGTATGAACAGTGCATAGATATGCTGTTAGAAAGGTGCCCGGAGGCACTCATCCCATATGCTAATCATGAACTGAAAGACGAGAATCGGGTATGCTTTTCAAATTATGTCTTTTAAGCTGGATCAGTAATAACAGATTGATAATCTTGTTGCTTTATCAGCAAAATGGGGACAAATTATGATGGCCCAATCTCACAGGAGTATATGGGTCAAATTGGCAGATATAATGTAGTGTTGAGTATTGTTAAATTCTATTAAAATGTATAGTGATGTTATGTTATCTTCATTAAAATCTCCTGTTTGGAAAGGTTATTACCTGAAGATTTTGGAAATGTAATGTATGGTGGAAAAGTATTTCTGTGCTATATGGTCTTTAGAAAATAAAAAAAAAAGTTTTAAAATGTAATACTTTTCTTGCTTCTTTCCACCTAAGAGGTGAGGACATTGACATGCCTTTATTTTTTCTAGAAAATAGCCATGTACATACATGTGTATGTTCATGTATGTGCACATTATTAGATTTTAAAGTTAAAGACCTGATTTTTATGATACAGTTTAAGCAGAATTCTAGCTGCTGCTATAACTTCTTTTATAAGAAAGGTTGGCCCCTTAACCAATATGGTATGTTTTTACCCTGTGCTTGCTGTTGTCATTGGAAATCTTTATGTGAAATGCATCAAACTTAAGATTTATTCATTTTTTCGTAAGATAGACTTTGTGGTGGAAAAAACTGTTGCCTGAACTTTGTCAGCGAATCAAATGTGGTGGAGAGAAATATCAACTTTACCTGTCATCATTAAAAGGTAAAGTGACCTTCTCTTGGTTATATACTATTTATTTTTTTTCCTAGACTTTTATTTTGTTTAGTGGACTCATCCCTTTCCAGTTTTTTGTTTGTTTTTGAATTGATTATAAATTTAAGAGTGTCAGTTTTAGTTTTTATAATTTATTGAAGACTTGATTTCTTTATTTTTTCATGTGATTTTCAGGTTTGGTAAAGAGGGTCTTGGCATAATCAGCTGTAGAGCTTGTTTTCAGCATTCATATATTCCCCTCATTACATTTGATATTCGTTTGTGAATATGCATGGGACTAATGCTTTTTAGGTTAATCTTGCAAACACAATTATCATAGTCATAGAAATTCATGACCTTAGTATTCAAAAAAATTGAATAACTATTAAGACAAGTGCATTATTAATAATCTGGGAGTTTATTTACTTCATGTAGAAAATTAGGTTTATTACTATTGATTATAATTATAAACAAGTATTGAGAAATGACAAGGTTCTCAAACTTAAAAATTTAACTTCGCTATATTAGGCTGTATTTTACAGCGTAGGTTCTTACTGTTGGAATTTATAGACTTCATAGTCATTTATAAATCCTGATATGTGCTTACCATTTTCTCTACTTTTATATGGTAATATCACTAGTTAATTGTTAGCCTGATGACAAAGTGTATGATTTTATTGATATTAGAAATTGACAGTGTTGGAATTCCAGTTTAGGTAATGGGTTTTTGATGTGTTAGGCAGAACAGTGTCCATTGGAAGATGTTTCTCCGAAGATAACCATTAAGTTAAGTTGTATGTTTGCGATTGGGAAGACAAGGAGGTGACTTTATACTAATTTTTTGGCCTACCTACCTCCCTGAGTGTTTTTCCTTGTTTGTTTTCAGAAAATAGATGTGTCAGATGTTTGATTGCCTGTCCCACTTGCATCAGATTGATCACTAATTCTAGCCTGAGTGGATAATTTTCTTTCCAATGCAGATATCCTATCTTCACATTTCATTGATGTTATTTTGGTCAAAAGATTCATTCTTCATCCTTTTCTGATCCACTTTCTACCCCTAATTTACCCATAATTATTCCTCCAAATGTTCTGTTTTTCTATATCTTCAAAATATGTTTGCACATAGATGTGTGCACATATATGTGTGTGGCTCGTGGAACTAAGCGCTGTGTATGATTTACCTTTATTAGACTGTAATACCTCAAGAGCTGGTATTGTGTTTTATGCATTTTTCACTTTGCATCTTTCTCACCAGCAATATGTCTGTCCATGGAAGCATTCTATAACTGTTTATTTGAAGATGAGACACCTAATAGTTCAGGTCTCTTTTCAAGGAATGTATTTCTGTTAGTGGCTATAATATACCGAGAAGAGTTGATTGGAGTCTGGAGAACTGGAACTGAGTTTCATGTGTGCTATTTAATGACCTGAAGCAAGTGAAATTTTCAGTATCCTGGGATTAATGAAAACTTCAGGATTGGTTCTAAAGTAAAATGTTAGGCAAAGTTGCAAGAGAATAAGATTGAAGATGGAGGCCAGAGACTTATTATATAAGATGCTTAGAGCTTGCTTTCTTATCTTGTAGCATTTTCCAACCATGACACTAGTGACATTTTGGACCAGATAATTCTGTGTGTGTGCAGGTGCATTGTAGAATGTTCAGCAGCTTTTCCTGCTGAATACCAGTAGTGCCACCCCCAGTTCCAACAAAAATATCTCAAGACATTACCTGATGTCCCCTGGGCGGGAGGGCAGAAATGTACAGATTGAGAGCCATCACACTAATGCATTCAAACTGGAGTTCATGTTTGACTTGTTTCAAGGATATCTTTGTTACTATTTTGTAATAACTGCTTATTACTAAAACTTTAAGTACTATATTGTTAAAAAATGAATATTTAAAACACCATTTAAGGGGCCTCCCTGGTAGTGCAAGGCGTTAAGCAGCGCACTATAAAGTTATCCACATTCACTGCAGCACGAGTTCGATCCCTGGCCAGGGAGCTACCCACATGGCACAGCAGACTTCTCCTCTCTTTCCCGCTGCTCCCCTCAGCAGTGTATTTCAGTCCATCTGCCTGTTCTGTTCCTCACTCTGTCTCTGGTGAGTCCTCTCACTCCCCACATCTCTGGCCTGTACCCCAGCTCTTGTATGCACAAATAAGTAAATCTTTAAAAAAAAAAAAAAAAAAACAAACATTTAAAATCCTACCAGCAGAAATAACTTTTCAATAGTTGGCAAATATTTTATAGACATGCTGAAAGATTTAAAATACTCTATGGATTTAAGATATTAGCCATGTTCTTGGAGTTATAACCTGCAATAGCCAGTCATTGGTTGGCAGAAGAGAAGAATTGGGCAGTGGCAAGATTTATGTGGCTCTATAACTACTCTACCTTTTTATTTATTTATTTATTTATTTATTTTAAGATTTATTTATTTATAAAGAACTGGGGTACAGGCCAGATGTGCGGGAGGGTGAGAGGATTCACCAGAGACAGAGCGGGGAACAGAACAGGCAGGCTGATGAGATACACTGCTGAGCGGAACAGCAGGTGAGACAGGAAAGGTCTGCTTCACCATGTGGGATTCTCGCCGGCTGGCCGGGATCAAACCTGCGCTGCAGAGGCTGCGGACAGCTTCACAGCACCACTCTCAACCGCCTGAGCCACCAGGGAGGCCCCACAATTTTATATTTTATATCTCAGATAGAATCTATAGCCTTCAAATTTAAGCCAGATAAACTGGTTTGCTAGGAAAGCATTCTTGGTTCTTATTTTTTATGTGGGGTTTGCAAATGAACCTAATTTCATTAAGGTTCTGAAATATGTCAGATGTGCATCATTTTATTTTAATTCAGTTCTCAAAGGACTCTGGAAGCTAGCAGATGGTTCCACTACATTAGAAGAAGAAACTAGGATTCAGGAGTTTAAGTGAGTTTCTTAAAGTCACCAGAGGGTACACAGAAGAGCCCTGTCCCCCTCCAGGTCTAGATCATTTCAGAGCTAGGAATCTTTCCCCATAGATCACGGCTATTTCATTAACTTTTTGGCGACGAAGGTATGTCATTCTTTTGTGTAAAGGATGATCTAGGTTTCTGACTATTGGGCAGATGATTTTAGATGGATGTACATACCTGGGAGATTTTTTATTATTCTAGTCATCGTGCAAGTAGAGTAAATGATGGGCATATTCGGATCACAGGGAATGGCACCGAAGTATGCTTGTTTGGGAACATTGTTCTAAAGTATCACCCCTCTCTTCCAGCAGAGGGCAGCATGCATGTGTTAAGAAGCAATAGAATTATAAAATTGCAATATCTTTACAAAAGTGTTTATTAAATTCCTGAATATTGAAAATGTTCACTAGAGCCCATTATTTGCAGCTTGGGAAAAAAGGTAAAGGTCATGAAAGCATATTTTTGCTATTTTAATGCTGAGGTTTATGAAATTTCAGAGAGGAAGTGACTTAAAAAAATGTTCAGTAATTAATAGTGTTTCCTATCCTAGCAAGCAGTCTTTATAAACTAGTTGCAGTATAATCCTAACATTAAAAATAGCATTCTGTTTTTCTTTAGAGGGTAACAGAAATCCACTGAAGAACAGTGCACTAAGGCAGCAAGTCTATCACAACTTCAAAGACGTCTAGAAAGAATTAAGTTGTTAAAACCACTGTCTATGGGTTTTAGGAGACTGTTGTGTTTTTTTTTTTGTAATAACATTTTGTTAGTTGAACTAGCTTCTAATTAGTTGATTGAAAGACAAAACTTTCAGTTCTGACTGACCCAGGTATTCTTCCCTACAAACAGAAACGTTGTCAGTTGTTGCTGTGGAATTAGAACTGAGGGATTTCTTGAGTGTCCTCCCAGAAGATGGCACTGCAGCATTTTTCTTGCCGTATCTTCTTTACTGCAGTCGAAAGAAATCATTGACTTGAAGATGTCATTTGAAAATACCACAGTGGTATATGAGAGTGAATTTAAAAATTGAATGCCAGGTAAAAATATAAACAGGATTTTCATATTGAGTATGTATCTATATTGCCAGTGCTTTCAGGCTGCTTCCCTACCATGTAGAGGTATTATCATTTCTTAATTATGACCTGAATTATTTAATTGTCCAGAATGTAAAAAATCTCCAAGTCATTAATACTTTCTTCAAAGAAGCCATATATTTTTCAAGGTGGAGACCTACTGTTATTCCATGTCTCCAAGGTGGAGACCTAATGTTTATTCCAGGGAACATCAGTTCACTGTTGTTGGAGATTGCACAGTCTTCTTCATCCCAGGAACACAAATATTTTGCAAATATGCTTGAAAGAATGCCACTCCAGGTGTTCCAGAACTGTCTTTTCAGAAAGATTTCCAGATTTCTGTATTTATGTTTCTTTGATAAGATGTTCATGTTTTGCCACATTAAAAGATTTTAAACTTTATTTTCTTGTTATTTTTAAAACTCATGGTGTATTTCTCTCTGAATCAAATAAAGTAGAAGGCTACAAAGTCATCTTCTTGTCTAGTTAACGTGATTTGTTGAATGCATGCTTTTCAGCCAAAGCCTTATTTCCAAGTATCTCTGCTCTTTCAGAGAATGTGTGAAAATAAGGAATATATCATTGTATTCACTACTGTGTCTTCTTTTTTAACCTCTTACTAAAAGAATTTTTAGTTCAAGTCCAGCTCACTCATAGTGTGCTTTGATACTTAAGGCTGGGCAAAAATTCTACTCACCCGATGTCTGCTTCAACTGTATTTTGAAACTTTTCTCCTGATGGTACTATTCATCTTTACCAGATGTCATCTATAGAATTTCTCCAGTTCCAGCATAATATCCTTTGGCCATCTCTTAATCGTTACTCAAAACTAGGATTGGCACCACTTTACCTCATGCAATTTCTTTCAATTAATTCATTTCAGTTTTTATTAATTTTTATTACTTCATGCAATTTCTTTGAATTAATTCATTTTCGTTTTTATTAATTTTTTATTTCATGCAATTTCTTTCAGTTAATTCATTTTGGTTTTATTAATTTTTTTTCATGCAATTTCTGTTAATTCATTTTGGTTTTTATTAATTTTTAATACTTTCATTTTTTTAATTAAAGTAGTTTTTGTTTAAATTTAACTTTTATTAATTATTTTAAAATTTAATTTTTTACTTCCCTTGCATCTGTGCCCTATGCCCACTGGTTCAAAGAACGATGTCAGCAGAATATTAGAAGACTGATGGAAAGGAAATGAACCTCAGTAGTGGTCCTTTAAGGACCATCCAGGACAACATTTTGTTGTTTTTAAATTTTTTAATACAGTTTTGTATGCTGAGTGTATGAATGGCTTTAATGAATCAATTTCATTACCTAGTTTATTAGAGTCAGTCATGTCTCATAGTTAAGTGTATTTCCATGTGTAACAAAGTAATGGCTTCCCCACAGAGTCACAAATGTTTGTTTTCAGTCTTTTTTAATGCTTATGGCCATTCCAAAGTAAACATTCTATTCAATAATTTCACATACATTGTTATGAGTCAGTTTTTTCTTTATTTCCACTTATCACCAATTTATTTCTTTCAGCCAGACTTGGTCTCTATAGAAGAAGAAATTTTAAGACCATTATTAAAAATAGTATATAGTATATATGTGTGTGTGTATATATATATATATATATATATATATAGGCATATGTGTGTGTGTGTGTGTGTATATAGACAGCGTGTGGTTAAAAAATTAGTATGTGATGCTTTAACTGTATTCTAATTTTTAAAAAATGGTAGTTATTTTAATCTTGATTCATTATATTTCTGCTTTTAGAAACATATCTCTCATTCCAGTACTGCTTTACCTAAAGAAAAATTGCTTTATTCCCCACAAGATCATTATTAATTATAAAGGAAGTATAGTAACTTTACAGTAGAAAAAGCTGGGAGATACCTCCCCAATCAAATGCTTAATTTTAACATAACCAGTAAAGAACAAATTAAATATCTTGTGCCCCCAATATGGTGTACTAAGCAAAATAAAACATCACCTTCATGAGAATCCTATTTAAAAAAATACCCAAGGATTTGCTATGGTCTGAATATTTGTTTTGTTCCCACTCCCACTCCATCCCCCCAGTGTCCTGGTTCATATGTTGAAAATCTAATGCCCAAAGTGATGGTATTAAGGAGGTGGAGTCTTTGGAAAGTAATGAGGTCACAAGAGTGGAGCCCTTATTGGTGAGATTAATGCCCTTATAAAAAGAGGCAGTAGATAGTTAACTTGCTCCTTTTACCTTCTGAGGATATAATGAAAAGTCTACAGCCCAAAAAAGGACTCTCATGTGACTGTGCTGGCACACCTAAATCTTCAGATACTTTCCAGCAGAGCATTTTTATATTGAGTTTGGGTATTTAGTAGAAATAGAGAAGATACAGGCTCTGCCTATAAGGAACCTAAAGCAAACTTTTTCCCTACAAATTGTTCTAAAATGTTGCCTGTCAGAAATGTTGCAGTCTACAAAAAATACTTTTTATATTTGTCATAGGAGGTCTATCATGCTTCCTCTGATAGGGGAAATGAAGTAGAACATTAAGTATGCCAGGATATCCACCATTCTTTTCTAATGATTTATTTTTCTTTGTGTAAAAAATTATCTCCTGGTGCATGATATTCGAACATTTCATTTTAACCTCATATGTTCTTTTGTCTGTGTCATGGTAGGCAGACAGTTTTACAAAATTCAGAATTAATGTAGACTTGCCCAAAGTTGTATCAAACCTTTACTTAAAGATGATTCATACTAGTAAATGTTACTCCTCATTTTTCTATGTACAGTTAAAGCCATCCTTTTCGTTCCTTGCTGCTTTGCTCAATTGAGACCTTTTCTGTTTCCACACTTTAATTTTTTTTTCCCATCATCTGTTTTCCCTTCACATTTATATTTGTTCTATAATTTTCTCTATCTTTTTGAAACAGTCTCTCTTTTCTGTTTCAAGCTATCATCTCCCTCTCCTCTCTCAGGCTTCCTATAGAGGAGGAATCTTGTCATCGTGTGTGGGATTAGCCTGTATGGCATGCTTTGCACTTCAGGTGTTTGCAGGTTTCCTACCTCACTAGGCCTTCACTTGTGGTTATTTTTCTGAACAGGACCATCCTTTTGTGTAATTTATTTATGTGCTAATGTTCATAAAGACTAACGTCTTCTTTTTTGTCTTTGACTCTTCACCTTGTTTAGCAGTTATTGGCATTAAGCCAGGTCAGTCAGTGGTTTATGTAGCTGTTTGAGTCTGTAGAGTTGGGTGCTCTCAGTACCATTCTTTAGTCATAAAGAGACTTAATAAGAGGTTTTTCACATTAGTGAAGTATTTGTGTGAGACCCAGGGGCAGAATTTAAGACTTTTAATTTTCAATGATGGTTGTTTTTTCCAATGATTTAAAATTTTGAAATATATTTGCTTATATTCCATTCATGTTACTTTTTAATGCCTATTTTGAGGAGGAAACACAAGAATTGCTTTCTTTACATTAATTCCCCCTGTTGGATTTGCTATTGCCAAGTCCAGTGAATCTGAATGCAGAAGACCTAGGAAAGAGCAAAGCCTGCAACCGCAAAGCAGGCATTTCACTGTTTTTACAACACATTTCATTAGTATTTATCTATAAGAGGGTTCATTATCCTGTGTTTTTAGAGAGTGTGTGTGTGTGTGTGTGTGTGTGTGTGTGCGTGTACACGCACACACACTCATGGACACACATGTCCTTATGGGAAGAAGTGTTGTTACTGGGTTATGAGGAGCAATGAATTTTATATTCCGTTTTTTTGTTTCTGGATCTTTGCTATGGTGTAAATATGCCTATCCCCCATTCATATGTTGAAAGCACAAGGTAATGGTATTAGGATTAGGAGGTGGAACTTTTGTTAAGTGATTAGGTCATGAGAATAGTGGAGCACTTCTAAAAGAGACTCCAGGGAGCTAGCCTGCCCCTTCTACTCTCTGAGGATACAGTGAAAAGTCTGCAACCCAGAAAAGGGCTCTCACTTGACCATACTAGTACAGCTATCTCAGACTACTAGCTTCTAGAACTGAAAATAAAATTTGGTTCTTTCATAGTCTGAAAATACTACAGTCTGGTATTTTGTTACAGCATCTGAAATGGACTAAGACAATTATCAATAATGCCTCCTCTCCCCCCAGAAAAGACCCTGTTTTGCCTGATTGCCTATTTTAAATTATATTGATTACTGGGATTTTGTTTGGGGGTCTGGGAGCTTTCTTGTATATTAGGTAACTACCTAGAATATAACGTTTTCTATTTAAGAAAGACATGATATTCTCAATGTGTCTTGTGAGCCATGTCTGTTCCTTTTTAGTACAACTAGTGCTTTTTATCTGTGCTAGGTATAACAACATCAAATTAGTGCTAACTTGTATCAGCTTGCAAAAACTGTTGGTGCTATTATTAGTACTAGCTGTCGAAAATGAGCAGTATTAATTAAAAAAATCTTGTTTGGAAAGAGGGAAGGAAGAAGTCTACACCAAAGCAACAAATGCCTCATATTGAGGAGGTAGTGCACATTTATATTTAGGTAAAGTAGTGCATCTTAATTATATTTGTGATGATTTTTAGAATTGTTCACTGAGTCTTACCTTTATTTGGTAGAACACTGTATGTAGTTTCCATTCCAGCATGAATGTGGTCAGTCACATGGCAGTGGAGTAACCAGATTCCAGGTTCTCTTGGAAACATTTGTATGGTTTGGAATGTCCCAGGGAAAATGTCAAAGACATCAGAACTATAAATGCCCAGGTGCTTAATTAGAAAAACAACAAATAGAGTGTTTATTATATAATGTTAAATATGTGAGAGTTCATTCAAATAATTTTGCACTGGCGAGTTCATGGATATTAGAAAAATTGATACATCTGTATAAAAAAAAAGATACCCTGCTATTTCCATATTTAATACAAACCGTGGCTTATGTGTTCCTTGTTTTCCTGCTAAACTTTGGCCCTATGAGCCATCAAGTGGGCATGGAGGAAAGATGTGATAAGAGTGAATTTATCAACACAAGATTATCTGTTACCCTTACACTTTGACTTTCACTCTATCACTTTGGTTTGCTTCTTTTTCAGAGCACTTGAGTTACACAGGGGAACTGACCCACGGCCCCATTTCATTTCTAGCCTCACTTGCTGTACTTATCCTAGATTAGCTTGGCAGTGAAACTTGAGGGAAAGGAAGAGAGCTACAAAAGTGGTCAGTTGAGAAACTGAAAGCTGAAGCATTTTGACTAGACACATTTTGACTAGACACAGAGTATTAGGAGATTTCTACAGGGACAGAATTGAAAGTCCACTAGGAAAAGCACATCTATGTAAAACAAAATATGGATAATCAAAAATGGTCTCCAGCAATGTGCTTTTTTAAGTAGCTTCTGAATTTTGTACTGAAAGGCAGAAAAACATTTCCAAAGGGAATGATTCATATTAATTCCTGCTGAAATTAGCGTGGATTGAGAAGTAGAAGTATGATTAAGATCTAGGCACTAGTGTCTTGGAGACAATTGGATAAGCTTGTTCATTTAGTATCCAAATCTTAGAACATGCAAAGGTTCTAATAATGTCTCCACTCTTTGAATCATCACTGTGTGAACATTCTATTTCAACTAACAATCCCATTCAAATACTATATCCAGGAATATGTGAGCAGAACTCATGAAAATCCAGTAAAAACTGCAAATCCATGGAAGAGCCCAAGGTGTAACAAAGGTCAGTAATGTCAGTTGAAATTAGTGGGTGTCATCTCTTTGAAAGTAACTTAGTTGTATATTCAAACTTTCAACTTTTCATAAGTCTCCCTGAGGAAGTATATTTTTTCATTTGTATTGAAAATTTTTCACATATATTAATAATAACCACCATAGTTGGTGCTTACCTTGTATCTGAATGTATGGCCGTGGAAATGTACAGTGTGCAAGTCTATTTCATTGCCCATTCCCATCAGATACCAGTTGACTTCATCCCCCACATGCATTGTGAGGCCTTGTAGATTCCCAAACATTCTTCCATTAATAGCTGTGGACACACATGATTTTTATATTACCTTTCAAAATATTTTCAACCAACAACTTTCACAGAAAATGATTACCATGTAAATGAATGAGATCCTTTTGAGGTAACTGAATTACTTTACTGCAGTTGGGAGAAATGGATTCTTTAAGGTCAATAATATCTCTCTGCTTTTCTAGTCTGCTTTCAGCATCAAAAGCCTTAATCCTAATTTAGAGGGCAAGGAAGGGAGTGACAGAGGAGGTCAGCTGAAAAGTCACACCAGAAACATTTCAGATTGAGTTTTGGATTAGACAGAGTAAATAAGGTTTAGGAAAATTGGGGGAGAACTTAACAGATAATTTTGAACATAGTCCCCTTTTTGCTTTGAACAAAAATCTACCTCATACAAAGTGAGGCATATGTAGTTTATTATAAAATGAAGCAAATGGTCTCCAAAATAATTTTAAAGAAAGTGAAAACTAGATTTTAGACAAATGGGTCATACCATGCATTTTATTGCTTTCTATGAATGCTTCATCATCTTTGTTTACTTTCTCAGGGTGATCAGAGTATGTTTTGATGTTGTCATCCAAGTACCAAGATTCATTCTCATCAAAAACTAAAAACAGAAGGGAAAATTCCAGTTTCTTTATGGGATTGAAAGTTTGAATGAAATGTCTCCGACAAACAATCAGTGAGCCAATTAATCCGCTATAGAGATCCTGGAAACAAACAAAAATTTCAGTCATCTTTGTGATACAGGTCAGAATTTCAGAGAATGAGGACTTCATTATCTATAACTATAGGAATTTTGGAGAGATTGATTTAAGCAGTAGACATTGCCCATTGTGCTGCCAGGTCAGTAACTTTGCCACCAAAGTAGTTAAATTTGAACACTGGTGAGTATAGATGGGTCCTGTGGGTGGTTGATTTTGAAGTAACAGAAATAAATATGTGCAGAGGCCAGATGGTTCAGTTAAAAAGCAGCAATCTTAAAGAACTCCAAGTGAATATTATTGGTTTGCTTACCCAATCACTATGCTAGTTACCAGAAACCCACAAATGAGTCAAACAAGGTCCCTGTTCTCCAAGTACTCAGTCCAGTAGGAAAAATAGAGGAAATGAACCACCTGCCATCACTGTGGTATGTAAGGTGCTAGTGGGCACAAAGGAAGAATAGTATAAGTGACTCAGGTTCATGGGAAATTTGGTTTGGCTGTGTCAGTAATAACTGCTTTGGTTTTGAAGGGCTTTTGCAATGTATCTTGTTCAGAAATTTTAGATTTTGTTTTATAGGTAGTCATTGAGAAAGTGTCATGGTCAAGTCATTGAAAAGTGAGTGAGGAATGGCAGCATATTTGCATTTGGTGGTAAAGTCAAGGAAGGAATATTTGCATTTGGTGGTGAAGTCAAGGAAGGAAGGAGAGGGAAGAGATTGGAGACCTATGGAGATGCAGAGATGGAATGTATTGAGCTATATGTAGGTGGGAAAATTGCCTGGGAAGTGATATACATCATGTCCAGGGTTCTAGCATGAAGAAATGAGTAGATTTTGTGCTTTTGATACTGTTTCTTACAATAGGAGATGCAGTATGAAATTGAGGGAAATCCCAGTTTGCCAGTGTCTGGGCTGTTATTGGTGGAGATGTTCCATAAGTAATGAATAGACAGTTCTGGAACTCAGGAGGGAGATTTGGAAAAGAATCTTGGCACATATTCTGGTTTGCAGCTGAGTGTTGACTGAATTATTTAATCAAATAGCTTTAGTTGTACTGTAATTGGCCGTTGAGATCAGCATTTATTATGTAATAATAGAGCTCTTCAATAATGTACCTCAGTTTTTTTAGTTTAATGTGTTTTTTTATGTGAAGGGAAATATAAAACACTGTGTTAATCACTTAGTGTATTACACATAATCAGCAGTCACAGAATTAATACAGACAAAAAAAAATTGTATCCTTACAGACAAATAAAAAATTGAAACCAAAGTGAATTGTAGAGCAACATACTTTTCTGGGGTTTTAACACAGAATTGGACTGCAGGAAGACTAACCCATCTTCCTTTAATTGTTTGTCTATTTGGGGGAATTTTTACAAAACACAAGTGATTTAAAGTTTACCTTTACTTGATCCACAGTTGAATAGTAAGCCCATGGTATGCAAGCAGAGTCCTCTATTCCAGCTCCAGATCTTTCTGGGATTTTCCATACATAAGTGCGAGTCTCACCTAAGTTCATCAAACATTAATGTATCTAGTTACATTTGGACTATATTTGATATATATACTAAACCTTGATAAACAGTGACCCCAGAACTGGGAATGTCAAGGTAATTAGTTAAATTCTTAGACTACAAAGAAAAACAGTGGTCACCAGAAAGGGAAGGGAGAAGAGAAATGGGAAAATTGGGTAAAAGTTGTAAATTTTTATGTGATAGAGGGAAGCTAGACTTTGTGATAGAGGGATGAGCATAATAGAGCATATATAGATGTTGATACACATCTGTACATCTGAAAACTATAATGCTATAAACTAATGTTAAAATTGTTTTGGGATTCAGTTTTTTTTTTTTAATTTAATATTACATGCATACAAGAGCTGGGGTACAGGTCAGAGATGTGGGGGCGGGGGTGTGAGAGGATTCACCAGAGATAAAGCGGGGAGCAGAACAGGCAGATGGACTGAAATACACTGCTGAGGGGAGCAGCGGGCAAGACAGGAGAGGTCTGCTGTGCCATGTGGGTTTCTCTCTGGTTGGCTGGGGATTGAACTTGTGCTGCAGAGGCTGTGGATTGCTTCATTGTGTGGTGCTTAACCCCTTGCGCCACCAGGGAGGCCCTTGGGATTTAGCTTTAAGACAAACTGTAAGACGCACTTTTTTAACTTCTGTGTTAATTGTAAATTAATTAGACATGACACACATACCATTTCACAAACCAGGAGGTGGCAATTCCAATATCACAGTCTGAACAAACTTTGCAACAGGTAAGTTCTTAGCTTGAAGTGTATATCTCCAATATAATTTTTTCTCTACACTTGAAAAATCAAGTGTTTTTTTTTCTTGTAATGGCTAACACCTTCCCCACAATCTTCACTGTGCTTGCGTATCTGGACTATCATGTGTGATTTCCTCAGCTTCAACATGACTTTCCTTTTCTCCTTTTTTCACTATTATCCTCAGGGATTTCCTGATTCCTGGAGCAGTTTGCTCTCTTGATCTCATGGCTGCTGACCTGTCATGATGACCTTATTTCTAGTCCATTGCATTCTGTCACCATACTCTGTTCTGTCACAACTCTCTCACACACAGGACCAGATTGATGTGAACTGTGACACTTTGAAGGTGGCAGGCCTTTCCTCTTTCATATGTTCCGGGTCTGCTCTAGTTTTATTTCCACTGCTGGTCACCCCTACAATTCCTTTACAGCTTCTAAGAAGACCTTGACTTTCAGCTACAGCCACTCACCAATCCTGACTCTACCTGCATTCCCTGCTACTATTTGTGCTGTCAGACAAACTTTTACTAGCAATCAAAAGGACATGAGGGATGCTCTCAAAGGAAGAGCTAGAGTTTATGACATGCTGATTCACCACCTGAATGTATTCTCTCATCTTCTATACTCATCATTCTGATAACCACAAAATAAACATTTCCTTCTCCGTTTTCCCCCACCCTGACTTGCCATGCTTCGACTGGTTGAAGCTCCAAACCTTGGAGTCCATCTTGACACTCTCTTCCTTAACATTCCCTAGGGCCCAATCTTTCAGCAGGTTCTTTTAGCAAACTTTTAAAATAGCAGCGAAACATCAGCTCTTTCACCCTTATCCAAATATTGCTAATGCTTTACTCAGATTATTTAGTAGTCCATTAACTATCCTTGATTCTGTCCTTATGCCCCTATAATCACATCCACACACCAGCCAGAATAGTTAACAAGTGTTCATCAGATCATCATTCCTTACATGTACTTTTAGAATTAAATCTAAGGTGCCCTGGCCTCCCTGGAACTCATGTCACTTTCTGTCCCCTGTTTGCTCTACTCTGCCTTAATGAAAAACATTGAGCTCGGTGCACGCCAGATATACCAGCGTAGGATTTGAAATTCTAAGTGTCAGCCTCTGCCCTTCAGGACCCTGTTTTGGGACACAGACATGGAAACATCCAGCCTCATGCAGCAGGGTAAATCATTACCTGAGTGTGGTGAGATCATAGCCCTCTTCTCAACGCTGAGCATTTGTAGACAGCTAGTACTCTCAGATTGTTTTACAATTTTCCTAGAGAGAGAGTGTGTGTGTGTGTGTGTGTGTGTGTGTGTGTGTATGTGCACGCACGCGCATGTAGGTGTAGACACACTGCCTGCAGCCCCTCTTAACCACCTCCTTTATATCCTCAAGACACATTCATTTGGAATGAACATCTCTCTGATGAATTTTGCTATGAAAAGTCTATTAAATTGTGTACTCCCTCTTGCTCCCTTAAGTACCTGGTAAAGTTGGAGTGACTGTGGAACTGTCCGTTTTCACCCCGTGGGCATGAATTGAGTAGGGTCTTGTGGCCATGTTTTTAAAGATAATTTTAACTTTGTCTCTAACAGCTGCATGAAGTTGTGGACCTGGCAAGAGTAAGAAGAGGAACTTAGGTACCTGTCAAATTGGAAATTCTAACACAAATACCAGATAGCTTTCTTAGCATTAAAGGCAAAGTCTGTTTCTCCCCTCCTCGTCCCCTGCTTCCCAAAACTGCATGCTGTAGCACTCACAGATTTATACCTAGTCCTAAGGGATTTGGGATAAAAGCTTTATTAATCGCTGCTTCTAAAGATGGAGACCATGGGTTCACATTAAGAGTCCTAAGGTTTTGGCCTGAAAGTGTCCTGTAGGGTATTGCCCTAATCATGGGAGTCAGCTGTGATCTCCCCTGGTCAGGAATCAGGAGCACTTGCTCTCTCTTCTCTGCATTTGTAATTCCAGGCCTTCTGAGTGTGCACTTATTTTTTTTTTGTTGTTGGCATTTATTTTTAGTTTGTTCATTGAAGTAACACTGGTTTACAACATTGTATAATTTAAAGGTATATGATTTCAGCTTTTTAAATTGGAATAGTATTCCATTGTGTATATGTATAGCACTTTTGAAAGTGTGGAGCTACCACTTCCTTTTTCCCCTCTAGCCACTCTTACATTGTTTCCTGACTGGGACTTTTCTGTGACCTAGCAACAATGACATTGTCCCTTGGGTGTTTTATACCAGGTATAGAGGATAACCAAGCCCCAGGCCAGGGAACTCTTAATAGCGTGGCCAGGGAATAATCATTAACATCTTTATTTTAAAAGCAAGTATCTACTCTTTTAGGGGGGAGATAGCAGAATTTGATTAACAGTTTAATAAGAAAATTTCTAGGAATTTTATCAAAACTACAGGTAGCAATTTTTTTAGTAAATACAGGATATTTGTTTTTAGTGAATAAGTTTGATTTTTAATTTTTTAAATGATGTTGATACATGAACAGAAAAAATTAAACTGATAGTGATGAACTGTCACTGTACATAGCACATCACTAGCCCACACTTGAAGAACTGAAGCTGTTAGAGTACCTAGAATTCCCAGATGTTCTTCTTCAGCTTTTCTCTCCACTGGAACTCTGAATGTGCTATCAGTGTATTGCCGATATACAACCTTCTTGTACTTTGAACCGATGTAAAATTCTTCCTTATCTAAAAATGCATTTGAAACACTTACACACACACAGACACACACACACACACAACTAAGGTTAGTATTTGTCTTAGTGAAAGTGGAAGTTGAGTTTTAAATTTGAATAAAAATAGTATTTATTAAAGTGACTATGGTCGTTTTTAATATCACTCTCCCATCCCATAAGAATAAGCCGTAAAAATAGATATATGTTATAGAAAGGGCACCTAGTTAACGATGGAGACATCTAAGTTCTGGCCTTGACTCTGCCACTGGCTAAAATGACTCATTGCTTATCTGTTTCTTCATAGCTAAAGTGAAATATTGATGAGATAATCTAAAATTTCCTTACAGCTCTAAAATTTTATGAGTCCAGATATCACCAATGAAGCATTTTCTGGTTATTGCAAATGATCTATAGGCACTGAAATAACCATGTTTACCCAGCCACTCCCTTAATCTAACATTTCCATTGACTCCTAGAGGCTCCTGTAACTTTCTGACGTATTTGTCCCAGTCACTGAAAAAACCTCTTACTCCTTTACACCGAAAATCATGCCACTGTGGTCAAAGTTACTAACTAACTTCTGCTTAATTACGGGTTACCAGCCACATTGTGCACCCCCTATTTGAATACCTATCCATGCTGTTCTTAAATTACACCTATGAAGGTCAGTGCGTGACATGTGAGCTGAGGAGGGGACAGTTATTTGAATAGTAAAAAAGATCTAAGTAGAGGTGTTCGAGTTAGTGCTCTGAAGGCAGTATTTCTGACGCTCCAATAACAGGTTCCTTTATTTACATTTATCCATACTCTATTTTTTACATTTCCATAATGTACATGTTATTGATGATTGTACCACATTTTCCTCTAAGTTCTTGGAGGGGAGAGTATATCTGCTCTAACACTCTCAAGAAGTTAAAATATTATTCCATTCCTAACACCTTTAAGAATGTGAACTGTGGGCCTCCCTGGTGGCGCAAGGGCTTAAGATGCAACCTATGATGCTATCTGCAGCCTCTGCAGCACGAGTTCCATCTCCCTGCTGGCCAGGGAGCAACCCACATGGTGCAGCAGACCTCCCCTGACTTGCCCACTGCTCCCCTCAGCAGTGTATTTTGGTCAATCTGTCTGTTCTGTTCCCCACTCTGTCTCTGGTGAATTCTCTCAGATTCTCATCTCTGGCCTGTACCCCAGCTCTTATATGCATACATAAATAAATCTTAAAAAAAAAAAGAATGTGAACTGATTACTAGACTAATAATCTTGGGAGGGAAGATAGTTGGTAAAGGAAAATAATGTTATCTCTGAAATCCAGGCATTCAGTTTGGTTTTAATTTGAATATACCAAGAGAAGGACATGCAAATGTGAGTAGACAATCCAATAAAAAAGTAAAATGGATGACAACAAAGAATCAAATGAGATAAAGAGAAATTTTCCTCTAAGAAACTTAGGAGAAGCAGAAATTAATGAGGAAGGGTAACTAGTAAATATTTTGTTGTTTCGTTACTGTTTAAAGCAACTGTTTTTCTAAACCTTTGCATAATTCTTACTTATCTGATAGAGAAACCTAAAAAAAAACGTGAATCAGAGTTTGGATAATTACTTTTGCTCTTGCAAATGATGTAGCTCCTTTTCCCATTCCCTGCTTGGAGAATAATCCCATTCCACCTCTACCGAGGCAATGTAGTAGGTCCTCTCTTCGTAGTAGAAGTTTGACTCCTCAGAAGGATACCCGCACACATTCACAGTATATTTTTGCTTCATACCACCTGTGTAGTGGTCAGTTGTGAGGCACTCAAGGTTATAAGTCCCTGGAATGGGAAATAAGCATGTCACCCCTTTGCTCAGCACCTTCTGTGACCCCTCCCCTACTCGGAATCAGCACCAAAATTCTTACCATCATCTTATGATATGACTTTCCTTACCTCTGACTGGGTAGGCCTCTTTGCCATTTTGGAACAGGTCAACTGCGTGCCTACCTGGATGCCTTTGCACTTGCTGTTTCCTGTTCCTGGAACAGTTTTCCCCACAACATCCATGTGGGTCCTATCATCATTTCAGTGTCTCTTTGTCTCTTCCTCAGAGAATTTTTACCCTCTTCCTCCCATCAGTCCCCTGCCCTATTTTTCTTCAGAATACTTATAGTCACTTCATAAATTATTTATTGTATTTATTAGTATTCTTGCTTGTTGTCTGTCTCCCTGAATTAAAATTTCAGCTCCATGACAGCAGACACCTTTTCTCTTTTGTTCACAGTTGTATTTCTATTTGTCTGATGAATAAAGGGAATGGTGACACTGGATCTGACTTTCGTGGTGTGTAATAACCAACTAAATAAAGCCTGAAGCAAGTTAGTATATTTTCTTGTTTTGGTTAAAATTTTTTTTTTTATTGTTTTATTCATTCACGTATCTGTACGTCTCTCTGAATTTGCATGGGTTCTAGTATAGGACATTCAATTCCTAACGGCCAATAAGTGGACACTACATCTAGGATATAGATAAATGAAGTAACATTTAGATACACAGTCTTTATGTGAGTCATTCCCTTTCTGGTCTGATTTGCCAGCTACCTTTCATTTAAAAGGAGAATGTCTTGAGGATTTTACTGCGTTGAAACAGGAGAAATCACAGTCCCTTCTTTTCTTCTCACCCTCTGCCATCCCTCCAACAAGCCTGTCTGCATTACTTAACTGACAGACTTAGGGAGACGAGAGGTTAGGGAAGGCATAAGTTTATCAAACAACACAAGATTAAACCAATACTGCACAAATGGATTAAACAGACTTGACTTTAAAGAAATATACCTTCAGTATCTGGCTGCATGAAGAGTGTAAAGCTTGTTTGAGGGAAGAGGTTTGCTGTGTCTCTCCTTTCTCCTCTTGACAAATATGTGTGTCCTGAAAAGTAAATCCCATGTATATCGGCCTCATTTCCAGCGCTGAATAGGTACCACACGACAGAATCTCCTCGGCACATATTGAGACCAGGTTGATTTCCATACATGAATCCATTCATGGCTGTAACAGTTGGGAAAATACGTTTTCAAAGTGGTATATATCCTTCTACATGGCAATCTCCCAGACTTTCTGGAGCAAATTTTGTTTACTTAATTTTTAGAAGAACCTACTCAGGCCTTCCAATTGCTTTATTGTTAGGGGTGTTGGCAGCACTTTCAGAGCAACCCCCAACTGAAAGGAGTAGAGACAAATGCAATGTTCTCAAAGTTGAATGCCCTGGGAATCTCACTACTCTCCCCAGCTGGTCACTTCTCAGTTTTCTCAGGAGACACATTTGTGAGCACCCAAATATCTGAGTAATAATGACTTTTCCTGGGCCTGTAGATTGGAAATGCATTGTTGCTCTAGGTAGAAATTGCATCTTAAATAACAAGGATGAGTATACACAGTATCTCTCACTGCTTTTTTCAACAGAAAATATTCTTGATCCTTTGAAGTACAAAAGGAGTTTTAAAAGGATATTTTATAGATTGTGGGTAATATGTCTAGTATCATTCCAACTTAAAAAAAATCACATCTTCATATAACGCAAATTTATGTTTTTTTCTTCTAGATGACTTTCACATGTCTGTTAGTAGTGTGGGGGCATTGTGTACAATTAGTTCACTATCTCTGAACCATAACTGCATTTTATAATTACAAAGGGAACTGAAGTAAATCTCATGCTAGGTTTCAATTAAATAAAAATCTCCAGAGTTCAGTGTTTAAAATATACTTTAAATGCTCTGAAGTTGAACATTTAGGATATAGCTTAAATGCTCTGCAGTTGAGCATTTAGAATACAATTTTAATATATTAACAGTTTTTTAAAAACTGCATGGGGATTGATTCTAACACCATAGCTTGCTTCGTATTGAAAATAAAATGAGTCTGTCATTAGTAAAACACAGTTGAGAAAAGTTTCTCACCCAGTGGTTCTCAAACTTTAACATATATCAAAATGAACTTGAGGGCTGTTAAATGCAGATTGATGCCACCACCCCCAAGTTTCTGATTCAGTTTGTCAGGGATGGGGCTTACGAACTTACAATTCTAACACATTCTAAATGATGCTGAGGCTGCTGAACATTTTAAGAACCATGCATCTAATTGACATACCTTGTATTTTTTAATTCTGAATTAAGAGAGATGAAGAGTAATTGGATACATTAAATAATCAATGATATTACTGAGACCACTATCATGTTTAACCATTTATAAAACATTAATGAATGGGCAAAGCTATTAAAATTTTGGTTTAATTAAAAACATTACATGCTTAGTACTGAAATAACACAATTGATGGATGATGCAGTACTTACAGTGCATCTTATTAGATTCCTGAAAGTCTTCATCGTCCTTATTCACCTGATCAGGTTCAGTTGTAAACATTCTAATATTATCATCCAGCAGTAAACTCTCATTTTCATCAATGACTGCAGGGAATAAATAGAACTCCCTGTCTACACCTTTCTGTAAATCAAAACAAGGACAATAAGGTGAAGAGAGAATAAGTAAAGCAGAAAGACTTCCATGTAGACAATGCTATTTGTGCACCAAAGGAAAGATAAGAACAGAGGTTTCCATTCCTCCTTGTAAAATGGACTCATGAAATACTCCAGTGGACAACCAGAGTTTTCATTACTATCTGTGTAGTGCACTTTCATTCAACATGATAATCTAAGCCTCATGTTGCACCTAAAAGTTTTGAATTTGCTCTGCCTGCCTTCATTCCAAGACAAATTTAGCCCATCCAAAAAAAAAAAAAAGATTAAAATTAAAATAGAAGGGAATAAGTGTCTGTGCTAGAAACCAGGGAAGTTATCATTTACATTCATAAAAACTTGAAGAATTTCTGTAAAGCAGAGCAGATGGAAGTAGAGGGAAGAATCATCTCAAATAAAAAAATAACCAGTCAAGTGAATTGGAACAGGAATTCACACAATTTCTCACCATCTGAACAAACATTCTCACTCCTTGTCCCTCTGCCCCCGGTAAAATAAATAAATAAGGAACCAGAAATACTGTTCTGCCAGCTAAGAATATTATATCCTGACAGATTCTTCTTCAGATATGAGGGAAAAGTAGGATCCTTCTCAGACAAACAGAAACTGAAGGAGTTTGTAAACCCTGTAGCTCCCCTACAAGAAATGTTGATAGCCCAGAAGTAAACCCACATTTATATAGTTAGTTAATCTATGATAAAGAAATAAAGAGTATGCAATGGAGATAAGAGAGTCTCTTCAATAAATGGTGCTGGAAAACTGGGCAGTCACATGCAGAGAATTCAAACTAGAGACAGTCACATGCAGAGAATTTTCACACCATACCCACCATGAACTGAGAATGGATTAAAGACTTGGACATAAGACTATAATCCACTAAATCCACAGAGGAAAACATAATCAAAACATTCCACAACATTTGCTTCAGGGGCACTGAATTCCAGCAGCATGGAAAAAAAGAAACAAAAATAAACAAATGGGCCTACTTCAAACTAAAAACCTCTGCATAGTGAAAGAAACTATCAGTAAGACAATAGACACAAAGACACTCTACTGAATGGGAGGAAACATTTGCACAACATACATCCAACAAGGAGCTATTGTCCAAGATCTACAAAGAACTCATACAATTCAATAGAGAACAAAGAACATAATCAAGAAATGGGCAGAGGAGGTAAATAAACTCTTCTCCAAAGAGTACATACAAATGGCTTCTGGGCACGTGAAGAAGTGTTCAATATCAACTTATCATCACAGAGAGTAAATCCAAACCACAATGAGATATAGCCTCATTCCAGTGATAATGGCCTATATTTAAACAAACAAACAAACAAAAAATAATAGAAACAATAAATGTTGGCAAGGGTATGGAGAAAAAGGAACTCTCCTACCCTGTTGTCAGGAATGAAGACTGGTCTAGCCCTTATAAAAAACAGTGTGAACTTTTCTTAAAATATTTGAAATATATATACAATTTAATCCAGTAATTCCACTCCTTGGCATTTATCCAAAGAATGCAAAAACACTATTTTGAAGACGTACATGAACTATGTTCATTGCAGCACTATTTACAGTAGCAAGTTATAGAAACAACATAAATGCCCAATGACAGAAGACTGGATTAAGAAGATGTGATACACAGGAAAAAAACTAATTATAATAAGGTAAAAATCAAAATCAACTGGCAACTATAAACCAGAGACATACTACGGTGGTGGGTGGGGGGAGAAGGGAGTAGGATCAAAACAAGGGTGGTGGGAATTTTACAGGGACTATAACCAAGATGAAAGTGCATACATTGTACAAAAAATGAAAAATGATGTAAAAATACATAAAATTTAAAAAAATTAAACAAGTAAACAAAGATGTTGCCAATTAAAAAAAAATGTGATATATACAATAGAATACTATTTATAAAAAAGATGAATTACTGCCATTTGCAACAATATGAAGGGATAACAGTAAGTGAAATAAACCAGAGAAAGACAAGCACTAAATGATTTCAGTCACATGTGAAATATAGAGAACAAAACAAAGGAACTTGGAGAACAAAACCAAAAAATTTCTATAAATTACTGCCCAATTGAGGCCTGTAGAGTGGGGAAGGGGCCCAATTGTATACAATAAATTCTGGGATGTGTGGGGTGTGGTGATGCATACTTGAGATGTGAACCTGTTCCACTGAAAAGTTTACAGTGATGTAAATAAATATATTTATTGCAAATAAGTAAATATTTTAAAAAAATTCAAAAAAAATAACATTCCCAAAAGTTAAAAAAATTAGAAAATGAGTTAATGAAATCTATCACATCAATAGGTTAAAGAATCCATCACATCATTAAATGAGTTAATGAATTCCATCACATCACATTACCTTTTAACAACAGATGTGGAAAAAGCATTTAACAAAACCAGCATTCACTAATGACAAAAACACTCAGTATACTAGGACTAGAGAGAAGTTTTCTCAATTTGATAAAAATTTCCCACAAAAAAACCTATAGCTAACATTTTACTTAATGATGAAATGAAAAAAATTCAAATCTTTATCACTAAGATCAGGTACAAACAAGGATATACTCTTTTACCACTTCTATTCAGCTTCATACTGGAAGTTGTGGTTAATGCAATAAGACAAAAAGGAAAGTAACGGGAATATGTATCAAGATAAAATAAATAATCTTTGTTCACATATGACACAATCTATTTAGAAAATCTGAAACCCTAAAATCTGGAACCCCTATAACTAATAAGGTATGAAAACAAATTTTCAGGATACAAAATCAATATACAAAAGTGAGTCACTTTCTTATATGCCAGTAATGAATGAGTAAAAATTGACATTAAAAACACTTATATTAACATCCCCCAAAATGAAATATTTAGACACAAATCTGAAAAAACATGTACAAGATCTATGTGAGGAAAACTACAAAACTGATAAATGAAATCAAAATACTATGTAAAAAAATATTTTGCAGGTTTGTAGATGGGAAGATTCAATATTGGCAAGTTTTCAATCTTTTGCAACTGGACCTATAGATTCAATGCAATCCAATCAAAATCCCAGCAAATTGCTAGTGGATGTTGACATACTGATTCTGAAATTTATTTGGAGATACAGTATCAGAAAACCCAGAGGAGACCCACATAAGTCAGAGAAAACTGATGTCTGACAAAGAAGCAAATACAGTCTTTTCAACAAATGATGCTATATCAATAGCATATCCACAACACACCCCTTCAAAAAAAAAAAAAAAGAATCTAGTATAGATCTCACACTTCTCACCAAATAAAGTCAAAATGAATCATGGATATAAATGAGAAAAACAAAATAAAAAAATCTCCTAGAAGAAAACATAGGGAAAAAAATCTAGATGACCTTGGTGATATAACTTTTAAGATATGACGCCAAAGGCACAACCCATGAAAGAAAGAATTAATAAACTTAACTTCATTCATTCAAAAATTACGCTTTACTAAATAAAGATCTCATGAGAATGAGAAGACAAGCCACAGAGAGGGAGAAATATTTATAAAAGCGACATTGTATAAAGAATTGTTATCCAAAATAAAAACATTTAAAATTCAACAATAAGAAAACAAAGAGGTGAAACAACAAATGAGCAAAAGACCTTAACAAACATTTCACCAAAGAAGATACACAGATGACAAGTAGGCATATGAAAAGATGGTCTACATCATATATCATTAAAGGAAATGCAAATTTAAGCAACAATGAGATACATTTAGACTCCTGTTAGAACAACCAAAATCTGGAACACTGACAATGCCAAATGCTGGCAAGGATGTGGAGCAACAGGAGCTCTCATTAATTCCTGATAGGAAGGCAAAATAGTGTAGCCATTTCGGAATGCAATTGGTGATATCTTATAAAACTAAACATATTCCTATCATACAGTCCAGAAGATGTACCTTGGTATTTACCTAAAGGAATTAAAATACTATGTCCACATAAAAAGTGTCCTTCAGTAGGTAAATGGTTAAATAAACTGTGGTACATCCAGACAGTGTGATATTATTTAGTGCTAAGAAGAAATAAGCTATTAAGCCATGAAAAACTTGGAGGACATTCAATATGTACTAATATGTGAAAGTCAATGTGAAAAGACTATACACTACATGATTCTAACCAGATGACATGTGGAAAAGACAAAACTATAGTGACACTAATAAGACCTACAGGATTTTATTTTTATATCTAAAAGAGAGGGTTTATTATTAAAAAAGGAAGGAAAGTAAAGGGCAGTTACACAGACACAAGATGGCAGAAAGAGCTGCCCCTAAAAGAGACAGGTTTGCCGTGCCATGTGGGATCCTCCCCGGTTTTTGTATAAAAAATAAATAAATCTTTAAAAGAGAGAGAGAGAGAGAGAGGTTTATGAAAAGAAACACCTGCACAGACACAGGTGGGCAGGATTGCTGCCTGGGATTTTTAGGGCAATAACAATTCTCTGTATGATACCAAAATGATGGACACATGTCATTATACACTTGTCCAAAACCATAGAAAATAAATAGTAAGAGTGAGCTTTAATGTGCTATGGGCTTTGAATGATGTTGATGTGACAATGTAGGTTCATCAATTGAAACAAATGCACCACTTTTTTAGGGATGTTGATTTGGGGGGAGGTTGTGCATATGTGTTGGACTAAGGGGTATGTGGGAAATCTCTATATCTTATCCTCAATATTTTGGTTGAGCCCTAAAGTGCTCTAAAAAATAAAATCAATAATAATAATAAGCAAAAGAGGAAGAATGAATTACAAAGTTTAAGAAAAGTACCTGTAGTGAGGAGGCAGGGGATAGGTGAAAGGGAAGAAAGGATAGAAGCTAGACTTCTTTGAATATATTTCTTTTTGTGGATTTGATGTTGGAGCTAGGTAATATTTTATGTAATTATAATATTACAATTTTTAAAACAATCACATAAAATGAATAAAATAAACCTATGTATTCAGTGGGTAGCAAAATTACATAGAGAGGAACTATTCTAAGTGATTTTAATTATGTAATTGGACAGAGTATCTTCAGTGATATCTATTCTAAGAATAAAAAGGGCTGCAAAGAAATCTTAAACTGTTTTCAGTAACCTTATTGTTGACTGTAATGTTAAAATTTTAATTCTGATACTATTGTTTTTATATGGTGGGATGAACTGAATGAATATTTATATTGTTATCATTGAGAAGTTTTTCAGTGCAGTTGAAGGGAAATAAGATGTAAGATCAATTAGGTTAAGTGAAAATAAAAACAAAAGAAAAATTCATTGACCTGAATTTGAATAGAAAGTATCAATACAAACTAATGATGAATTTTCCCTTAATTTTTTTCCAGGCCCAAAGGCCTAGAAACAATAATTAACAGTAATGAGCTTCCCTAGTGCCTGGATTGTGGTTCTAACATTAATATCTTACTGAAAAGAAGACTTTTTGGGAGAAATTCTGATTCTAGGTCTGGCTTAGAAAATGTGCAACATGGATGTGAAATAGCTTGTCATACTAAAAAAATAAATAAATTTCAAAGACTAAGACCGTGTAAAATTAAGCATTATAAAAGTCTCTTCTTCCACAGCCATCATGTGTAAGTTGGAGTCTCCCAAGAGGTGTGGAAGTTTTCATCAGAAGTTTGAGCTTTGAAACAACTAATGAGAGTCTGGGAAGACATTTTAAACAATGGTAAATGCTCACAATGATAATAATTCAAACACCAAGTGCTCAGAGGCTTTGGGCTTGTCATATATGGTGGGCACAGCCACGAATGTAAGGACATACAAGGTGTTGAAAGTTGTGGAAACAGGTCTGTGGAAAGAGAAGATTCTCAAAGATCTGGTGTCACTTGTTGGTGTTGATTTTTGTTGGTATTATCAAAGAAGGCATTGAAGAGCATATTTAAGAGATTGTCTTGAGCTGTGTGGAAAAACTGAAGTGATTGAAATCATGATTGATGAAAGCAGTGGCAAGAAAAGAAGCTTTGCTTTTGGGACCGTTGATGACAAAGGGCTGTGTTTGTGGCTAACTGTCTAACAGGTTATTTTTGCTCCATGGAAAGTGTAAAGCATTCCAACAAAGTATTTTAATGTATTTTTTGTACCCATGTTATTAATTGTTAAATGTTACAGTCCAATTTTGACACTGAATAGATGTCCTTGTAAAAAGTTTGCTTTATAAAGTTAGTCTACTCTGAAGCCTTCTTGGTAAACTACCTCAACAATGTAAAGTTAGAATTCTTTCAGGGTGACTCCAGGCCCCATTTGAAATTTTTTTACAACCTGATTGGGTAGAAAAGTCATTGTTTTCAGAAATTTTGGTGTAGTTGAACTGAAAGTTACCATGTTGTGATTTGGAATTCACCATTAAAGGGTCACTCAAGCAGAGTCATGTTTTATTAATGATTGTTGGCACATCCTATGCAATATATCTAAATTGAATTATGTACCAGATAAAATTATAGATGCAAATAAACTATGTATATCTCTGTTTTCATGTGTAATCAATAAATGATTTAATATCCTTTTTGAAAAAAACCTCAAGGAATCAATTGGATGAAGTCCCTTTTGCCCCAGTGGCAAAATTATGATACTTTAAACATCAGTAAGGATAATGACAATGAATTGAAACATGCCAAATATGCTTAAATTATGATTTCACAAAAGTACTTAAAAACAAAGATGCTACTAAGAATCTTTGAAGTATTCTAAAAGAGAAATACTAATTTGAAAACTTATAAATATGGGGCTACAGTTGAGAAAAGAAAGCAAACACTATAGAAAATGAACAATGATGTAAAAATATATAAATAAATTAAAAATAAATAAATTAGTAAAAAAAGAAAACTTATAAAGGAAACTAATCAGGCAGATGTCTTTTCCTTCTTATGTAATACATACCTCTTAGTCATCAAATAATCCAATATCTTATACATGTATAGAAGTATACTGGCTAATAAACAAATAAGGATTGATGGAGTTAGAGTATCATCATGCAATCCCTGATTAGTTTGTGCATCTAAGATAGTCATTGTAGGTTGACAACATTTCCAATAGAGAAACAAATTATATTTTACATATTTCCTGATAAAAGTACCCAGTACCACATATGAAGTAATCTTGCAAAATGAAAAAAAAGTCTAACCTGAATCTGATCATACCTATTGATTAGGCTTTTGGCTTATTGGTATTAGATGAAAAGAGAGAAACATCTTAAATGGCCTGAAAAACGCAGTCATAAAAATCTAGATATGGGAAATTCTACATAATAACATCACTTGCAATCAGGGAAATGCAAATCTACAACGAGAAACCATCTCACACCAGTGAGAATGGCACATATTAAAAAACTAGCAACAACAAATGTTGGCGAGGATGTGGAGAAAAAGGAACTCTCCTGCACTGCTGTTGGGAGTGCAAACTGGTCCAACTACTATGAAAAGCTGTGTGGAGATTCCTCAACCTACTAAAGATAGAGCTTCCATATAATCCAGCAATTCCACTCCTAGGTATTTACCCAAAGGACACAGAAACATTAATTCCAAAGTGCACCTGCACCCCTACGTTTATAGCAGCACTATTTACAATAGCTAAGCTTTGGAAACAACCCAAATGCCCAAAAATAGATGACTGAATCAAGATGTGGTACATATATACCATGGAATATTACTCAGCAATCAAAAAAGATAAACACATGCAATTTGCAGCAACATGGATGGAGCTCAGCGAAATAAGCCAGAAAGAAAAAAAAAAATACCGGATGGTCTTATTCATAGCAGGAATCTAGAAAACCTAAATAAGGGACCAGGAAAAAGAATAACTATAAGAAAGAAAAAATCAAAATCAACAAACAACTATAAACCAGAGACACACTATGGGGGGGTGGGTGGCGGGGAAAGGGGAATGGGTTCTAAATAAGGGGATTGCAATTGTATGGGGAATATAAAAATAAAATAAAAACATTAAAAAATAAATCTTTATTGAACAACAATAAAAATAAGAAAACAAAACTCTTCCCACAGAAAAAACACAAGAAAATAATCCTGAATAACATATCAACTGATTGTAATGTGTGTATTACTTAAGTATTCAAGCTACAAATGAAACAAAAGATAATTGGGGGGATGTGAACAGTGATTGGATAATTGATGATGTTAAGGCATTATTATGAATATTTTAAGACATGATAGTTATACTGAAGATATTTAAAAGGGAGTCCTTATCTTTCAAGGGTTCATGTTAATTTTTTTTTTAAGGTTAAGAAGCAATGATGCGGCCTCCCTGGTGGCACAAGGGTTGAGATGCAACCTATGAAGCTCTCCGCAATCACTGCAGCATGGTTTGACACCCAGCTGGCCAGCGAATAACCCACATGGCACAGCAGACCTCTCCTGGCTCGCCCACTGCTCCCCTCAGCAGTGTACTTCTGTCAATCTGCCTGTTTTGATCCCCACTCTGTCTCTGGTGAATCCTCTCACCCTCCACACCTCTGGCCTGCACCTCAGTTCTTGTATACATAAATAAATAATTCTTTTTTTTAAGATTTATTTATTTATTTATTTATTTATTTGTTTATTTATTTATTTATTTATACAAGCACTGGGTACAGTCAGAAGTGCGGGAGGGTGAGAGAATTCACCAGAGCCAGAGCGGGGAGCAGAGCAGGCAGAAGGACCGAAGTACACTGCTGAGGGGAGCAGCGGGCGGCAGGAGAGGTCTGTGTGCCATGCGGGACCCTCATCCAGTGGCCGGGAGCAGCCGGGGATTGAACCGGTGCTGCAGAGGCTGCGGGCAGCTTTGCAACCCAGCGCTCAACCGCTGCGCCACCAGGGAGGCCCAATAAATAATTCTTTTTTAAAAAAAGAAGCAATGATGGCATAACATATTCTATTTTTAGGTTAAAGGTCATTTTCTCATTTCTAAAAAATAATTTAACTAATATTTTCCTCAGTGAATGTCGAGTGACTTAACATAGTTTTTTTTTACTTCTGGATGCGTATTAAAGTCTAATTGTATCATAAAAACATTGAATTCCAAGGAAAATCTTGTTTCCAATTCATCTTGGAACCATCAGGCTAGATAGAACATCTCTGTACAATGCAGATCTTATAAGCCAGAGAAAAATTTATAATAAACGTTATGTATAGAATCCTGACTATCTCCAAATATAAAATTTTCCTTATAATAATGATTTGGAAATCATTTTCATTTTTTCTGCTTGGACTTACCTGTGTCCCATTTTCAATTAAACTTCCCTCCTTACATATTTTCATTGGCCCAATAAGCCCTGTGAATATATCTTTGGTGGGATCCACAGCAGAATAATACATCTTAGATAAACAGGGAGGGTCTTTGTAAGTGGGTCCCACTTCTTCAGGGACAGTCCATTCATAGGTGAATGTTTCTTTTGGTCCCACATGGGAAGCTGAAGGAGGCACACCTGTAAGAAAGGTTATATTTGGCAGTTAAGTATACTTTATACTGTGGCCACTTGAGCCACAAAGTAGACTGAGTTTAGTTTATGGTAAACTACTTTTGATTTCCCTGTTATACACTAGTGGGGAATCCTATTTGTGCTTCTGCGTCAGGCAAAGGATTGGTGTGATTTCCTCCAAGAAACTTCCTCTGACCTCTGTCTGAAATTAGTATTTGCTGCAGTTTGAATGCTTGTTATCTATTCAAAATTCACATATTGGAATTTTAATGCCTAACATGGTGGTGTTAGTAGTTGAGGGCCTTTGAGAGACGATTATGTTATGAGAGTGGAGCATTCATGATTCAGTTTAGTGCTCTTATAAAGGAGTTCTCACAGTGCCCACAAGTCCCTTCTGCCATCCGAGGACACAAGAAGTCTAAGCCCTGGAAGAGGACCACATACCACCATGCTGGCACTGTAGTCTTGGAATTTTAGCCCCCCAAAACACTGACAAATAAATTTTTGTTATCTATAAGCCAACCAGTTTGTATTGGTAGTATCTGGTTATAGCAGACCAAACAGATTAAGATGGGGCCCCTCTTTGTACTGTCAGTTTCTGTGAAAGTCCCTAACACCTTTCTTGTTATGTTGTGAGTATCTCCTCACTCCACCACCAAATAGAACTTAACCTTTTTGAAGGCAACTACTGGTTTCTATATTTCCATCAATTAGAAGAAAATCTGGAAATAGGCGTTAATCAACACATTTTCTCTTGAACAAAAGTGAACAGAAAATAACATTAGAACTGCAGGTGATTCTATTCTAACATCTTAATTGAAGCAAACTGAGGTCAGAGAGACTAAATAACTTGCACATGGTTACACTGCTAGTTGTGGCAAAAACACTAGTCTTCATTGATCACCCTTGATGTATAAAAGTACCAAATGATACAAAATGAACTATTGTATTATATTGTATTAAATTGTATTATAAAACCTTATAGTGCTAAAGAAACAAGCTGGGTAAAAATTACTCGAATTGTATTTAAATACTATTATCTCAAGCACATTTAAAATAAATATTATATATACACAGATGAACAAATGGAGGAATTATATAAAATGTGATAGTGCTCATCCACAGAACAGGATTATATTTTTGGCTATACCATTTTATACTTTTCAAATGTTCTAAAATACTCTTCTGGGCCTCCCCAGTGGCGCAGTGGTTGAGCACTGGGCTGCGAAGCTGCCAGGAGCCTCTGTAGCACCGGTTCGATCCCCGGCCCCTGGCGAGGGTCCCACATGGTGCAACAGACCTCTCCTGCTGTGCCCGCTGCTCCCCTCAGCAGTGTATTTCATCACTCTGCCTGTTCCGTTCCCCACTCTGGCTTTGGTGAATTCTCTCACCCTCCTGCGCTTCTGACTGTATCCAGTGCTTGCATAAATAAATAAATAAATCTTTAAAAAAATAAAATACTCTTCTAATCTTCTTATAATAGTAAGGACATTTTTAAAAATTAAAAATAACCCAAATATTCCTCTAGAAAGGTAATTGATACAATCCAAATAAGTGACTACTAGCTTTGTCAATTATCACCCAATTAAGGCAGGACAATGTTCCATGAATCAATTGAAAATAGGAAGAGGTTTACTTGCTTCTTCGCATGATGCCTGAAATGATATATGAGCAGTTTCCTTGGACGTTCTTGCCTTTTGTTTTTGCAGGATGGATTTTCTGGGTGGCCAGCACAGTAGGTTAATAAACATTGTTGATTGATTACACAGTGTTATACTCACTTCTGCTTGTGGAGCTGGAATGTGGAGCATAGTATGTGCCCTCATTGGCCTTATTTACTCTCACTCCAACAGGCTCAATACTGAGGGGATGTCCTCCTTTGTTATGAAAGGTGACTCTGATGGTGTCTCCCACTTCTGCCCAAATGACAGGACCTAGGGACAAAAAAAGTATTAACAATCAATGATATATAACATTCAGGAAGAGAGGAACTGAACAAACTATTCATAAGTCTGGGATTTAAAATGGCACTGAAAAATATTTTGTAAAACAAAATCCCAGATGGCTTTAAGGATGAATTTTATCAAACTTTTGAAGAACTGTTGTCCACCTTGCCCAAATTATTTTTAAAAATACAAGAAAAAACTTTCCCTAATACTTTGTACAGTGTAGCACTGCCTTAACACTAAAACAGGACAAAGAGACAAAGACTGCATAAAACAATGAATAGAGCAATATCCTTGATAAATACCAATGTGATTTTTTTCAGTAAAATATAAGCAAATTGAATTCAATGGTATATCATAAGGATTAAACACCACCATCAATTGGAATTGATCCCAGGGATTCAAAGATGGTTTAATATTCATAAATCAACTAGTATCATACACCATGTAAACAAAAGTAAAGATAAAAATCATATGATAATATCCTTAGATGCAGAGAAAGCATTTGATAAGACTCAGGGCCAATTTATGACAAAAGTGTTAACCAAGATGGGAATACTTGAATATTGTATTATTAAAAAATCTTTATTAAAAGGCCATGTATCACAAGCCAATGGTCCAAAATAGTTCTCAGTAGTGAAAAATTGTAAGCTTTCCCCATAAAAACTACTATTGTCACCACTTATGTTCACATAGTACTAGAGGTTTTGGCCAGAGCTATCAAACACACAGGAAAGAAAGGGAATCCAAGTAGGAAAAGAAGGTGAAATTATCATCATTCACAGATGACATGATAATATTGCTATAGAAGGTCCTAAAGACTCCATCAAAAAGTTATTAGAAACTACAAATGAATACAGCAAAGTAGCAAGCTACGTCAACATACAAAAGTCCACAGCCTTCTTATATACAATGAGAAAGAAACTAAAGAAATTAAGAAAATAACTCCATTTACAATTGCTTCAAAAAGAATTAAATACATTGCTAATATCTTCCATGATATCAACAATAAAGATATTTTTCATAACTCTGTTGTCTAGGGAGTTAAAAATAGCCAACTGAAATTAGCTCAATTTAAAAAGTATATATATATATACTTTTTATATATATATACTTATATATATATATAGTGAAAAAATATATAAGATAATTAAATAGATACCCTATTGAATAAGAGAAAATATATGCACATTTTAATGAGGAATGCGTGTTAAAACCACAATGAGATACTACCCCACAGTGTGGGAATAGCACATATTAAAATGACTCCAACAACAAGAGCTGGAGAGGTATGGAGAAAAAGAGCCCAATGACACTCCTGGTGAGAATGTGGAAAATAATCTAGATTTATATAACTTAAAAATAGATATACCATATGACCCAATAATCCCACACTTAGGCATATATCCACAGAATATGAAACCATCTACAAAAAATACCCTATATATTCCAGAACACTAACAATAACATTATTTACAATAGGTAGAACACAGATACAGCCTAAATTTCCTTCCATAAATGAATGTCTCAAGAAGATGTGGTACATGCACACAGTGGAGTACTATATAACCATAAAAAGGAAGAAATGCAGCCATTTTCAACAAAATGGAAGAAATTTGAGAATATTATGTGTGATAAAGTAAGTCAGAATAATAAGAACAAATGTGGGACATTCACATAACAGACAAATTTACAATGTAAAACACTTTTAAAAATGAGTGGACAAACAACCTGAAGATTATGAGGTTAAGTGGAAAGGGGAGTGAAAAGGATAAAGGGACACAAATGTTGGTGGTGGGAAAAAAATTTAGCCTCTTTGTCCAATAAGGGACTCACTTTTTGTGTTTTCAAACAATGTTTATGATAAAAAGTGAAAGCAGAATCAGACTACGATATCCCCACTCATGGAGAAACTGATTTTTCCCAAGAAGTAGAATAAGCTTCACTAAGAAGTCACATCTGACACTACAAGAGCAAAAATATGAGTCTCATGTTGATTTTCTTATACTTCCTTAATTTATTTCTCATCATTTACTGATAACATCCTTTTTGGATAATGTCTAGTTTATCAGTTGAGCAAAGAACAAGAAGGTAACAATTTAAAAGGAAAAAAATCTGTTACCTATTTATAATTTGCTATCATTTTTGTCCAAATCAGTTCACAGCTTCATACATCTGCAAAAAAACTATTCAGTGTCTATATTTTCTTTATCCTAGTCTTCTGATGGCTAAATGAATGTTATTTGTCCAGGTAGTCAGAGGTGTATGATAAAACTTGACCACAGAAAATTGATAAGATAAATTGTCTTGAATGTGATGAATAATGCTGCGGCTGTGTATTTTCCCATTATTAAAATTAATTAAACAAGTACAAAATAGAACATAGATATATAGTACTTATATATTTTATGTTGAACATAGAATGATATTTACAGAGTCCTCTGTTCTGAGTTTTTATGTGTATCAATTCATTTAATCCTCACACCAACTTCACAAGGGACTTTATTGTTATCAGTTTCTATTTTACAGAAAGGGAACAGGCATAGATAGTTGAGTACTTTCAAGGTTCACATAACTAATAGGTGGAGAGTGAGGGCATATGAATCCAGACACTTTTGTCTCCTACAATGCTGTTTTACCCAAGCGTCTGAACAAAAATAGCTCTGGGCTGTGCCTGAGGGCAACTTGCGGAAGGTTCTCAGACACACCCAGTCTGTCTACATAGTAGCCTGGATTTCATTTCTAAGTGAATGTATACTTAGCTAAGGGCAGAGATTAACAGTTTCATTGTCTACTTAAACCAAATCACATAAACACATATTAAAGAAAAAAAATCATATTTGAAGCATTTTTTTATGATGAAGAATTGTAAATATAATTTACATTTGGAAAAGTAATTAGCTACTGCATTTTACTCATGAGTAATCTTCCATGCCTTTATTTATACATGGAAATCGTGTTGCAGGTCCTGAAATTTCTAAGATTGGTGTGGCCCAGGAAAGAGCATAATAGTCACATATATTTCACACATACTCACCCAGGATGCCAAGATGTTCCTCCTCAGGGCCTCTTTCTTTTCGATTTGTGAAGGTGGCGTCTGTGTACTCACGATAAACCAGCTTTTTATAAGAACCTCCAATTCTTGCTGGACCTTGTTCAAAAAATACCTCTGAAGCACTGTCGAATGAAAACAGTTGAATGCAGAAGTTAAAAGCAGAACAGAAAATTGGACACCCACATAGGGTATCATTTGAAGAGAAATATTTTGACTAGTATTTAGAAATAATTGTTTCCCATGATTTGCCTAATACTGCAACAGAGGCAGACAGGGCCTGGCCACTTCATGGAAGGATGCTCAGTTAAGGAGTAGAGTATCATGGAGATTCACTTTTTCAAGTGAAGTGAAAATTTCAAGAGGGCACATATTTCAAGAGGGCACACATCAACTCCTGATAGTTAACACATTTTTTCATAGTAGAATCTTCTTAAAAGTTATGAAATACAACATTAAAAAATGTAGAGGTACTATTTATTATAGGGCTAGGAGCCCTTCAGTTTTCTTTTATTATCTGAAACTCATATGGCAATGCAACAAAGTTGATATTATTGTCCCTACTTTAATGAGGAAATTAAATCTCAGAAAGGCAATTGACTACCACAAGGCCATCCCATTCATCACTTTTTCCATTTGACAAATGTATTGAACAATCTACCCTTTGCCAGGAACTCTATTATGTATGTATGATACAACTATAATCAAGCTGGACCTGTTCTTGTTCACATGTCAGAGAAGTCAGACTGTGAACTATGTATAGTAGTATGTAATAGTAGTATGTAATGTAATAGCATGTCATAACACAGAATTTTGTGGAGCATTTTATATAGGATTGGGAGATTTAATGGGAAGAGACCCAAACAACTCTACAGAGGAAGTTATTTTTAAAAATGACCTAGAAGAGAATTAGAGTTAAAAAGATGAAGATTAAATCATGTGTAGAATAGGGCAGATGCTTGCAAAGATGAATCAATTTATGGGAAGGCCCAGAGGACAAAATAAGCCTGGTAATTTCTGCAAAATAAGACAGGAGCATAAAGTGTAGAGCAGGGCAGAGGACCAGAAAATAAGGCATGGAATGATGGGTAATGGGTAGGAGGACCTATTAGGTTTCAGAACTCCATCCTAGGAATGGAAAACTTTGAAATATTCAACACTTCAGGATTAATGTTTTAGGAGGATCCCATGAGTGACTACCTAGAGAATGTACTGGGATAGCAAGATGATAATAGGAATACCAGTCAGGAGGTTGCTTTTAAAATCTTGATGAGAAGTAGTGATGATTTCAATATTATTGGTAAAGAGGGCTAAGATAAGTACATAGCTTTCAGAATGTTTAGGGTAATAATAAGGCACTAGTTCATGAACTGAGAAGGAAGGATTGATGATGGAGAGGCAATCAAAGATAGTGCTCAGGTTTGAGGCTGATTGATGCAGAAGAAGAATATAAAATCTAAACAGCAATAAAAACCACCCACAAAAACCAAAGTTGAGGACCAGAAGCCTTCACAAATGAGAAAGAAGGAACATATTTTATGAAGCCAACGTTATGTCAAAATCAAAACCAAACAAAGACAACATGAAAAAAGAAAACTACAGATGAATGTCTCTAATGCATATGGATGCAAAGTCCTCAATAGCAAATCAAATTCAATAATACATTAAAAGAATTATATACCACAACTAAGTGAGATTTATACCAGGGATGTAAGGATGCTTCAACATCCAAAAATCAATCAATGTAATCCACCACATGAAAAAAAAAAAAGATGAAATCCATATGGCAGTTCGACAGAGCTGAGAAAACAGTTTATAAGATTCAATATCCATTCATGACAAAAAATACTCTCAGAACTGGGGATAAGTGGATTATATCTTACATGACGTAAGCCGTATATGACAAATGAACAGCTAAGATCATTCTCAATGGTGATAAACTAAAAGATTTCCCACTAATACATGGAACAAGACAGGGATGTCCACTCTCAACACTACTGTTCAATATAGTATTAGATGTCCTAGCAAGAATAATTAGACAAAAGGAGAATATAAAGTGAATCCAAGTTGGAAGAAGACATAAAGCTATTATTATTTGCAGATGACTGGGACCAAAGAGTTTTACCAAACCCTCAAAGAAGAACTAGTAATAACTATCCTTGTAAAATTTTCCAAAATATAGAGAAATAGGGAATACTTCTGCACATATTCTATGAGGTCAACATCACTCTGATACCAAACCCTGACATAAACATCACACAAAAAAGAAAATTACAGACCAATATCCTTGATGAGCAAAGGTGGCAATGTTCTCAACGAAACCTGAACATGTCAAATTCAACATGCATCAAAAGGATCATATATCATGAATAAGTGGGGTTTATTACAAGGATATAAGAATCATTCAGCATCTGATTATCAACCAATGTAATTCACCACTTTATCAAAAGGAATGATAAAAATCATATGATCATATTAATAGATGCAGAGAAAGCAAAGGATAAGATTCAATGGCTATTATAATTTAAAAAATCATAACTGAGGACAGATACAGCATAACTCAACATAAAAAAGGAATATATGATAAAGACACAACTAAAATCATACTTAATGATGAAAAACTGGAAGATTTTCCTCCAAAATCTAGTACAAGACAAGGATGTCTACTTCCTCACTACTACCATTCAACATAGTATTGGAAATCCTAGTTAAAGCAATCAGGCAGGAGAAAAATATAAGAAGACTGCAAATGGCAAAGAAGTAAATGTATCACCATTTGCAGTGACTTATAATATACAAAAAAAACCCTAAAGATGGCACTAAAACTAATTCAATACAATAAAGTTGGCAGGGCTTAAATCAATTCAGGTTGTGTATATGTGCAACCAATGAATTACAAGAGGAAGAAATAAAAGAAAAAGCAATCCCATTTACATTCACATCAAAAAGAATTTAATATATAGGTATACACTTAACAAAGGAGTTAAAGGACCTATACAATGAAAACACTGTAAGACACTTTTGAAGAAACAAAGGAAGATTAAAAAAAGGAAATATCTCCCATACTCATGGATTGGAAGAATTGTTATTTATGAAATGGCCGTCTTTTTTTTTTTTAATAATAAATTTGATTTTTATATTCCCCATACAATTGCAACCCCCCCATTCTGACCCCAATCCCTCCCCTCCCGCCCCCCACCCCCCAAAAGTGTCTCTGGTTCATAGTTTTTTGTTGATTTTGATTTTCACTTTCTTATAGTTATTCATTTTCCTGGTCCCTTATTTAAGTTTTCTAGATTCCTGCTATGAGTGAGAACATCCGGTATTTTTCTTTTTCTTTTTGGCTTATTTCACTGAGCATGATCCCTTCCAGCGCCATCCATGTTCCTGCAAATTGCATGTGTTTATCTTTTTTGAATGCTGAGTAATATTCCATGGTGTATATGTACCACATCTTCTTGATCCAGTCATCTATTTTTGGGCATTTGGGCTGTTTCCAAAGCTTAGCTATTATAAACATTGCTGCTATAAACATAGGTGTGCAGGTGCTCTTTGGAATTGATGTTTCTGTGTCCTTTGGGTAAATACCTAGGAGTGGAATTGCTGGATCATATGGAAGCTCTATCTTTAGTAGGTCAAGAAATCTCCACACAGCTCTCCATAGTGGTTGGACCAGTTTGCACTCCCACCAACAGTGCAGAAGAGTTCCTTTTTCTCCACAACCTCACCAACATTTGTTGTGGCTAGTTTTTTTAATATGTGCCATTCTCACTGGTGTAAGATGGTATCTCATGGTAGTTTTGATTTGCATTTCCCTGATTACAAGTGATGTTGAACATTTTTTCATATGCCTGTTGGCCATTTGCATTTCCTCTTCAGAAAAGTTTCTTTTTAGCTCTTCTGCCCATTTTTTGACTGGGTTACTTTCTTTGTTGTTGTTGAGTCTCATCAGCTCTTTGCAGATTTTTGTGATCAGTCCTTTATCATTAGTGTTGGGTGCAAAAATGTTCTCCCAGTCAGTGGGGTTTCTCTTAGTTTTTGTTATTGTCTCTTTTGCTGTGCAGAAGCTCTTTAATTTGATGTAGTCCCAGCTGTTTATCTTTGCCTTCACTATCACTGCTTTGGGTGATGAATCTGTAAAGATGTCTTTGATGTGCAAATCACGTAGTGTTTCGCCTATATTTCCTTCTATGTATTTTATGGTTTCAGGTCTTATGTCTAGTTCTTTAATCCATTTTGAGTTGATTTTTGTGTATGGTGTGAGGTAGTGGTCAAGCTTCATTCTTTTGCATGTAGCAACCCAGTTTTCCCAGCACCATTTATTGAACAAACTTTCTTTGCTCCAATGCATATTCTTTGCTCCTTTGTCAAAGATTAGTTGACCATAAATCTGTGGGTTTATTTCTGGATTTTCTATTCGATTCCATTGGTCTGTATGTCTGTTCTTGTTCCAATACCATGCAGTTTTGATGATTATGGCTTTGTAGTATAGTTTGAAGTCTGGGAGTGTGATGCCTCCATTCCCTTCTTTCTTTTTCAGGAGAGCTTTGGCAATTCGGGGTTTTTTGTGATTCCATATGAATTTCATCAATAATTGTTCTATTTCTTTGAAGAATGACATTGAAATTTTGATTGGAATAGCATTGAATCTGTATATTGCTTTTGGTAGGATGGCCTGAAATGGCCGTCTTACCCAAAGCCATACACAGATTCAATGCAATCCCTATCCAGGCTCCAATAGCAATCTTCAAAGAAATAGAATAAACATTACTGATATTCATATGCAACCACAAAAGAGCCTGAATACCCAAATAATCATGAAAAAAAGAGGAAGAGTTGTTGTATTACATTCTCAGGCTGCAAACTATACTATAAATATGTAAGTATTTAAAGAGAATGGTATTGGGACATAAACAGATACATAGACAATGGAACAGAACTGAAAGCCCAGAAATAAACCCATACCCATATAGACAGTTAATCTATGACAAAAGAGTCAAGGGTATATACTGAAGGAGAGCCTCTTTAACAAATGATGTTGGGAAACTGGACATCAACATGCAAATATTATACAAAATTAACTCAAAATGGATTAAAAACATGGATGTAAGATCAAACCATACAAGACATTGAAGGAAACAGGCAAAACACTCCACAACATTGGCTTTAGTGACTTCTTTGTGATTCATCTCAAACAGTAAGTGAAACAAAGGTTAATATGACAAATGATGTTTTTTTTCAAACTACAAAGCTTTTGCACAATTCAGGAAACTCTCAGCAAACAAAAACATATCCTACTGAATCAGAGAAAATACTACGTATGCTACATCTTATAAAGGGCTGCTGTACAAAATCTATAAAGAACTCATGCAACTCAACATGCAACTCATGCAACTCAAATGGAAATAACTGACCCAACCAAAATGTGGACAGAAGATGCATATTGACACTTCTCCAAAAAAGACTTACAGATGGCCAATAGACACATGGAAAAATACTCATCATCACTCATCATCATGGAAATGCAAATCAAAACCACAATGAGAAACCACCTCACAGCTGTGAGAATGGCTCATATCAAAAAGACCAGAAACAATTGTTGGCAAGGATGTGGAGAAAAAGGAACTCATATAGGGAACACAGACTGGTTCAATCCTTATGAAAAACAGTATGGAGCTTTCTTGTAATATTAAAAATAGATCTAACACATAATGCAACAATTCCTCACCTCGGTATTTAATTAATGAATGAAAAAATTTGAAGAGATAAATGCTTGTTCACTGTGGTCCTATCTACAGTAGCCAAATAATGAAATGCTATGTCAGAAAATGTTTGCCTGTGTTTTCACCTTCATATTTTAGTTTCAGTTCTTATATCCATGTCCATTTGGAGTTGATTTTTGTATATGGTGTGTGAAGTGGTCTAGTTTCATTCTTTTAAGAGTAGGCTGTTGGTCCCGTTTTCCCAGCATCAGTTATCAAAGGGGGTTTCCTTGTTCCAGTGTACATTCTTGGCTCCTTTGTCATTACTTAATGGTCCATGTAGGTGTTCGTTTATTTCTAAGTAAGTGGAAAGCAAATGAATTGACCTAATTATATTTAGTGATTTATTTTTTTAGGAGTTGGTGGGAAATACTTTTCAATAGACTCGTTTCTTATTTCTCAAACTTGGATTCATATTTAAAAATATTTATCAGTCTAATTACTAAATTTCAGGGACCAATTAAAATTTTAAAATCTGAATCAACTTTTTATGATTTTTTAGGTGGACCCATACTGTGAAAAAATTATCTTTTTCTGGGCCTCCACGGTGGCGCAGTGGTTGAGTGCTGGGTTGCGGAGCTGCCCACAGCCTCTGCAGCGTCAGTTCTATCCCCGGCTGCCGGGCGAGAGTCCCACATGGCGTGCAGACCTCTCCTGCTGTGCCAGTTGCTCCCCTCAGCGGTGTACTTCGTCAGTCTGTCTGTTCTGCTCTCTGCTCTGGCTCTGGTGAATTCTCTCACCCTCCCACGCTTCTGACTGTACCCAGTGCTTGTATAAATAAATAAATAAATCTTTAAAAAAATTATCTTTTTCTGAATTACCTTCCAGGTGCTGTTAAATTCTCTTGGGTGTAGCCATCTAAGCCAGAAGGTGCATAGTTCCAGATGATTTCTTCGGCAGCAATGTAGTAATGTCTAATATGTTTCCTTTGGATATTGTCCTCTGAAGAAGGTTTGTTACAGTCTTGGACCTTGAAAAAGGCCTGCAAGCCAGCTGCAAACCACACAAAAGGAAACATTGACTAATGGAGCCAAAATTTTCTCTCCTATTGCCTTTTAAACACTGCAGGTGAATTGACAGCTAGAATTTGAACAAATAGGTAGCTGGAAACAATTTTATAAATGAAATAGCTGTAATTAAATTACTGATGGACATTCAAACAGTTTTGTTTTTCAAACTTCTTTATATGGTTTGGAGAAGAACACAAAATATTGTACCAGTTTCTTTGGGTTTCACTTTGGATGTCTTTTGATGAGCAACAAAAGAGAAGTTTGGCCTTATTTTAAGGTCTCAGACAGGATGGAAGAAGGGAATAGAATGAACATGTATTATCATTGTTCTCACACAAAATAACTACACACCTACCTCACTGGGCCTTCTGTTGTCAAGGTCACATTTAATAAGCAATATTTATTTGAAGGTCCCAGTAACATACCTAGAGATCCAGATTAAACCCATTTTTTCAGATGACCAGTGTTGCAAACTAATATTTTTCAGGAACTAGGAATGTTTTACCATTTTATATTACAGAGATGAAGGAATTTATCATGTTAAACTAAGGAACAGTTGGACTCGAATAAAGAAAATGTTGGTTATATTTGGTAGAATCAAGTCAGAGAATAGGTTACTTTCAGAACAATATATTAATAACCCCTACTGGAGTTTATCATGTTGCAGATTTTGTAAGGATGAGAAACCTTATACAGTACCAAATTCTTAGGACAGTAGTAAAATTTCAGGGTCAATTATTCATTTCCACAAATTAAAATACTTTCAGATTTTATTACTTTATAAATGCTTCAATATTTTAGTTTTTATTATAGTATAATGCAAAATATCATAGGAATAACATTAAGTTGCCAGTTCAAAACTCAAATCATTCCAAAGATATTTAGCTTTTAAATTTTGATTCCCAATAATCACCCACTAGTAGTATAACTGAGACATGACTTTTTTATCTGACAGTTAATTTCCTACCTTTCAGATGGTTTAGATTCTGACAGCTAAGCATCCATTCTCCGGGATTCTGAGCCACCATGACAGCATCAACAAGAGTGGCAGGAAAGAGATTGAGTGTTTCAACGCGGTAGTTCTTGTTAGTCAGCGTTTGTCCGTGGAAGAAAGCTGCGTGTATGTCTATTTCATTACCCATACCAAAAAGATACCACTTCACTCTGTCCCCTGCGCACATGGAGAGTCCCGGGAGACTGCCAAAAGCGTATCCATTCACAGCTGCAAATCAAGAGCATAGATTGTGACTAAAGACATTGGTGCCTGGGATGATGATTGTTGTTTCTACAGAAATAGAATCAACCTGGGATGGAAAATACGTGGCACACAAGCTATTAAGTCTATTAAGTCTTCTCTCCTCTACTCAAATCAGACACAGCTTATCCACCACAGGGCTCTTTAATTTTGGACCTGACCTCAGCCTCAGTGTCTTGTCAACACAATATTAGCTGATGAACGTTCTACTGAATATAGAGCCTATTTGTCCTCTTTGTTATAAATTATACTCACTGATATATATATATATATATGTGTGTGTGTGTGTGTGTGTGTTCATTTGTGTGCATACATGTACAAAAGATACAGATATATAATGAATAGGAAAAACACTGAGGGTTATTTATAATCAGTTATTAATCATGTTGGTGGAGATAGTATGATTTCAGTGTTTTCTTTCGTCAGAACTTAAAAATTTCTTTTTTATTATTTATAAATATATTACATCATTGTTCATTTTTGTACAATGTATACTTCCTTCTCTTAGGTATAGTCTCCATAAAATTCCCACCACCAATTCACCTGTGAACCATTACCATAGTCCCTTGTCCTCTTCCCTCCCCTGTCTTGATCCCTCTCCTTCCCCCCACCCTTGTGGAATGTCTCTAATTTATAGTTGCCTACTAATTTTGTGGGTTTTTTAAAATTATTATTTCTATTTTTTTTCCTGATCCTTTATTTGATTTTCCTATATTCCTTCTGTAAGTGAAACCATCTGATATTTTTCTCTTTCCTTCTGGCTTATTTCACTGAGCATAAAGAACTTTTGAAAATTTTTGTAGTGAAAATGAATTGCTTTTGTCAAAAGATTTTTTTTTTAAAGATTAGAAGACAACATTGGAGGCCTCCCTGGTGGTGCAAGGGGTTAAGTCTCAGCCCTATGAACTTATCTGCAGCACAGTTCGATACCTGGCCTGGGAGATAACCCATATGGTGCAGCAGACCTCTCCTGACTCACCTGCTGCTCCCCTCAGCAGTGTATTTCTAGATCCACTTGTTCTGTTCTCCACTCTGTCTCTGGTGAATCTGCTCAACCCCCTACACCTCTGCCCTACACCCCAGCTCTTTTATGCATAAATAAATAAAAGTAAAAAAAATAAATCTTAAAAAAAAAAAACTTAGGGTCACTTTTAAATTGAATGTTCCTAGAGACAAGGTGGAGATAAATTCTAGGAAGCATCATGAAAACACCAGATGCAACAGAGCTACCAAATCAGAACTGTTAGGACTAGAAGTTTGAGTGTTTTTCCCCTGACATCTGTTTTTGTTAGTATGTAACAGAGGCAGGATTGATATATTGACAGAGGACCTTCCAACCAGAGATAAGCAAGCATTGAGGGAAAAAAATGTATTTTGCTAATTAGGTCATTATTCTACTTTGGTAGGACAATTATTTCGTATTATTTTCTGTGTAAACCTTATTTTGAGGAAGCGAAACACAAATAAAAATCTGTGCTTACTGGTTTACTTGATATGAAGGGATTTGGTTTTTTATGTAAGTTCTTAGGGATAATTAACTATCACACTAGGCTCACTATCTTGCATATGAGAATTAAGGAGTAACCTGGGCAGTAAAGAAAGAATTTCTAGAATAATTTGAACTCAAATATAGAAAAAAATGATTCCAGAAATGGGGCAACAAAGAACAATGTATATATAAAATAAGTTCCTTTTTGAAGTAGTGACTTAAATTATTTTCATGAGTAATTTGATACTTTAAAAATTTCAAGCATTTAGTTTAATAACTTCAGGCTGCCTCACATAATTTTACAATGAGTTTGAAGGATAAATAAATACAAAAGAATATATATCCATAAAGCCGTAACTGATGACATTTTGGGGAGAATTTAGTGTATGTGACTTTGAGTTTTGATTTGACCTGTTTAGCTAACTATCAAGTTGCTTATCCAATATGATTTAAACATCAAGGTCATAGACCATAAATATACCACTTATTCAGGTGAGAGAATTAAGCTAGAATTAATGGATCAAGAAGAAGAAGATAGGGCCTCCCCGGTGGTGCAGCAGTTGAGTGCTAGGTTTCAAAACTGCCCGCAGCCTCTGCGGGCCGGTTTGATCCCTGGCCGCTGGGCGAGGGTCCCACATGGCACAAAGACCTCTCCTGCCGCCCGCTGCTCCCCTCAGCAGTGTACTTCGTCAGTCTGCCTGCTCTGCTCTCCCCTCTGGCTCTGGTGAATTCTCTTACCCACCCACGCTTCTGACTGTACCCATTGCTTGTATAAATAAATAAATAAATCTTAAAAAAAAAAAAAAGAAGATAAATGAATAAATCTTTTTTAGGTTCTTCCTGGTGGCCTAGGAGTTAAATCTCAGTGCTATCACTGCTACAGACTGAGTTCGATTCCCAGCCAGGGAGCTACCCACATATAGCACAGCAGACCTCCCCTTTCTTGCCCACTGCTGCTCCCCTTAGCAGTCTACATCAGTAAATCTGGCTGCTCTGCTCCCCACTCTGTCTCTGGTGAATCCTCTTACTCCACCCCCCTGACCTCTGGCCTACACTCCAGCTCTTCCATGCAAAAACAAAACAAAGCAAAAAAACTAAATGCTAAAAAAAGAAAAAAATAAGTCTTCTGTAACCTTACAATACATTCTGTTACTCTCCTGGAAATCTTCATTGTCTTTGTCAACTTTCTCTGGTTCAGTGCAGAAGGTTTTAATGTTGTCTTCTAGGTACCAGCTGAGATTTTCATCCACCACAGAAAACATCACCACGAATTCTTGGTCAATATTTTTTTCTTTTTCTTTATCTAGGAAATCTGAATGAAAATTACTACTTTAGTAGAAATTAATTTTTCGCATATAGTTTAGCTTGTGATTTGTGGTTTCTGAAAATTTTAGTGCTTATTTTCCTAAGAACCACAAACACTCTGTGTTACAGACCTGGAAATACTTGGGAAATTTTATGCTGGGCTTGGGAGACCCTCATATATCTATCTGACTGTTCACTGACCAAATAGATGTTAACATACTTTCTGGAAAATATGAAGGTTGGAACTCAAAGTTATGTCTACAGCCTCTGCTGCACATCGCCATAAGGTGAGAAAACAAGTCTTATAATTTATAATGACAACATGAATTGCATTGTTTTACCAATGCAATACAGATTAACTGCAGCTCTATTGCCATGGAGTGCCACTAAGGGAGTCACATGTATGATACATTTCCTCAGCACTACTGTTAGGAATTATATAACCTGGTCCCAAAGAGACAATAGTTCTCATGGCTTAGCAAGGTGTATGATTGCTTGTCCATTTATCCTTCCTCTATTTATCCTTCCCTGCTCTTCCCTTCCCTTTTTCTAGAAATACCATCTCTCTACTTACCAACTTACCAACATAACAAGGAAAACTTAACTTACATTTAATGAACAAACTGCCTTGTCTCTTGTCTTTTGGCCATACATTATAAGCAACAATGAGAAAATATACCTTTTTTACAAATTATTAAAGGTCCAATGAGTCCTGAGGCAATATCTCTTGGAGCATCAATGTGGGAATGGTAAATCCTGGTCACACAATTGCCGTCTTCCTCACCTGGACTTTGTTCCTGATTGGCATGCAGTATGTATGTATACTGCTCACCTGGATTTACTTTGTCATCTGATTTTTGAAAATCTGTAGTATTATCAGGGTAGAGGGCGCCTAGGAAGCAACACATAATGAAATCACAAATTGAATGTGTTAAGTGAGAGACTAGACGGTTCAATAATTCATTCAATAAACATTTACTCAGCAGCTGATATATAAACCTTGGGGTGCAGTGATGTCCTAAAGGAATGAGGGGCTGACAGCTAGGGAGTCTGGAAGTCTCACAGAAAAATTTGTAATTATTTTTTTATACTTGACTGAGCTTTCAGAGAGTAGAAATATATATGAGGAACAGAGTGAGTTTTGGTTTGCAATTTAAATATTCACTTTTCTCATGAATGGGTGTTGTACTTTGTCAAAAGCTTTCTCAGCATCTATTGATATTATCATATGGTTTTTATATTTCTTTTTGTTGATGTGTTGGATAACATTGATTGGTTTTTGGATGTTGAACCATCCTTGTGTCTCTGGAATAAATCCTACTTGGTTGTGATGAATTATCTTATGGATACATTGTTGGATTCTGATAGCTAAAATTTTATTGAGGATTTTTGCATCAGTGTTCATTAGAGAGATTGGCCTGTAGTTTTCTTTTTTTGTGATGTCCTTGAAATGCAAATGGCCAACAGGCATATGAAAAAATGTTCAACATCACTTGTAATCAGGGAAATGCAAATCAAAACTACAATGAGATACCATCTTACACCAGTGAGAATGGCACATTAAAAAAACTAGCAACAACAAATGTTGGTGAGGTTGTGGAGAAAAAGGAACTCTCCTGCACTGTTGGTGGGAGTGCAAACTGGTCCAACCACTATGGAGAGCTGTGTGGAGATTTCTGGACCTACTAAAGATAGAGCTTCCATATGATCCAGCAATTCCACTCCTAGGTATTTACCCAAAGGACACAGAAACATTAATTCCAAAGGGCACCTGCATCCCTATGTTCATAGCAGCACTATTTACAATAAGCTATGGAAACAACCCAAAAGCCCAAAAATAGATGACTGGATCAAGAAGATGTGGTACATATACACAATAGAATATTACTCAGCAATCAAAAAAGATAAACTCATGCAATTTGCAGCAACATGGATGGAGCTGGAAGGGATCATACTCAGCGAAATAAGTCAGAAAGAAAAAGAAAAATACTGGATAGTCTCACTCATAGCAGGAATCTAGAAAACCTAAATAAGGGACCAGGAAAAAGACTAATTAATACAAAGTAAAAATCAAAATCAACAAGCAACTATAAACCAGAGACACACTATGGGGGCTGGGGGAGGGGCAGGGAGAGGAAGGACTAGGGTCAAAATAAGGGGGAGGGTGCAATTATATGGGAAATATAACCAAAATGAAAATGCATACATTGTGCAAAAATGAAAAATGATATAAGAATTATATAAAATAAAATAAAAAAATTCACTTTTGCCCCTGGGTCTTGGCTCCCCTCTTCTGTACAGTTGCTCCTTGAACAACACAAGTTTGAACTGGATGTATTCACTTACATGAGGATTTTTTCAGTAAATATATTAAAATTTTTTTTGAGATTGTGACAATTTGAAAAACTCACAGATAAACCTCATAGCCCAGAATAGGAAAGCAAGTTATTAAAGGTAGGTATGTCACGGATGCATAAAATATAGTACATGTTAGGATATTTTATCATTTACAGCCATAAAATATACACAAATCTACTGTGAAAAGGTTAGAACACAGAATGTTCATTGCTCTATTTGCAGTTGAGAGAAATTTGAAATATAAAGGTGCCATATAAAATCATAACTGCATGAAATGAACTGTAGTGCATACTGCAGTACATAATAACTTGGTAGCCACCTCCTATTGCTATCGCAGCATGCAATATCAGCAAGTATCTGTTTAAAATGCCATGTCATGCTACATACATATAATTTACATACAGACTTTTGGTGCTCAAGGGAGTCAGTACCCTTAATACTTGTGTTGTTCAAGGATTAATTATAATTTAAAACTTACTTAAGTAATATCAGAATTTGCTGGCCCATTAAATAACTATGAAATTTAAGATTTTTTGGGCCTCCCTGGTGGCACAGGTGGTTAAGCGCTGCACTGTCAAGCTGTCCATAGCCTCTGCAGTGCGGGTTCGATCCCAGCTGGCCAGCGAGAATCCCACATGGCGAAGCAGACCTCTCCTGTCTTGCCTGTTGCTCCCTTCAGGGGTATATTTTGTCAGTCTGCCTGTTCTGTTCCCTGCTCCATCTCTGGCGAATCCTCTCACCCTCCCGCGCATCTGGCCTGTACCCCGGTTCTTATATAAAAATAAATAAATCTTTAAAAAAAAAGAAATTTTAGATTTTTTAATTTTTAATTTGGGAAATTTCCAAACATATGCAAAAATTGAGAAACTAATATGATGAATTTCTATGTAGCCATCAAAATGGCTTTAATAATGAGCAAATTCACATCAATTTTGCTTTATACATACTTCCACCCACTCTTACATCCATCCATAACAAATGAACTTAGAACATTAGTTTCATTCATACATACTTGGCTATGTCCCTTTAAAAGGTAAACTCTTTTTTTTTCTTTTGAGAAGACCACAATTATAATATCTCAAAAATGATTAAAACCTTAGTATGCAATAAAATTATGAAAAAGAAATAAGATAGCTTTCAGTCTGTATACTATGAATGCCATTGTTTGGGTCAGAAAAGGAGCCCAAAAATTATATGGTGAAAACAATCACCTTCTAAAGCAATACCTCTTTAAAGAATACTAATATTTATCAAATTTAATTTTATATTAATTTCTAGACTTGTTCCGTATAACGTCAATAAAGTGTAGCATGGTCTCAGCATATTTTATGTTAATAACTGACATATATTGAGCGATTACTATATACTCTTGTCCTTATTGTATATATGAAGAAACTGAAGCACGAGAATTCCAAAGACTTGACCAAGCTGATACAGTCAGTAAAAGCCAAGGCTGCACTCACATCTTGGTCCATTAATTTCAAAGCCCCTGTTCTTAATCACAAGAAAACACTATCTCTTTTCAAGATCATTGGGTACCACATTTAAGTGGTCCAAGTTCTACAATCAAATGACTTTTGGTCAATTGTGTCACAAATGTGGCCATTTGACTGAGTATGTAACTACCCATGCTCAGTTTTAGCTGGGACAAAGTTTATCCAAAGCTAAGATGGGAGGTGATGATGACCACAGCATATGCAGATTTAGGAATATTAGAGATAAGACGATCATTGTCTGGAATCATGTTTTTTTTTCCCTCTACATTTTTGCTGCTTCTAGATTTTAATGCATCCTGACTACTTTTCATAGCATATTATATTGGAAAGAAATTGGGCACTGGAATGGTAATCCCAGCTCTCAGTGACTCTTGTTATATGAATCCATCCTGAAATCCTATCACAGTCACATGTTACACTACAAACATATGCAATGAAAACAGGGCATTATTGTGATGAAGCAAAATACTTATTAATAAAATAGTTTATAGCTAAACAACTTAGTTACAAATCCTATTCAAAAGGGAGGTCCATAATTTTACAAGTTAAGAACTAGTCCAGTGTAAAATTGAAAGGAGATTCCAATTAATATATCATTTGAACTTACCCTCATGTTCCTTATAGTAAGTTATTCCATGTGGATGAAAAGTATAGGGCCTAGAAGCAAAGTTTTTAAAATGTACATAAAGTTTATCTCCAATTTCAGCTTTGATAATAGGACCTAAAAACCCCAGCCAGTCAGGTTTTTCTATGGTTGTCCCGAAGGACCCATCTGTGTACTGAAGATAAATGGCTTTCTTGTATACTCGTCCAATTCTATCTGGTCCACTTTGGAGGTAGGTGTCGGAATGTTCTCTGTAAAGGAAAAGAGGACAACTCTATCAGAAGCTACCATTTCTGGGAATAACATTATAATTAAAGAGAAATTAATGACCACATTACATGAAACATTTGTCAATTACTGTGGGAATGCCTCCAAACAATGGCCTGGATAATGTCAATTAGCTCTGCTGTTTTAGTTAAGTGTGGTACCCCACACTAGGCTTATGGTCAAAGTTGCCATAAAAATTCAGTTCATCTTACCAGAGCATTGCTTGTAAGATTTTTATATTAAAACACAGGGGCAATGGCCTGCAGTCAGAGCCCAGAGGGGAAGTGGGAACCCACCGCCGGGGCAGACCGGGTGCACAGGGAGTGCGTCCTGCATCGCCATTTTAGAACAGGGACATTTCTTCAGTAAAGACTGCCTCAGACCAGCAGAAGGCTCCTGGAGGAGCCAGAGGTGAGCTGGGAAGTTCGCCCATGCCAGGCCCCTTATGGCCTGCAGTCCCAGCCCAGAGGGGGAGCGGGAACCCACCACTGGGGCAGACCAGGCACGCAGGGAGTGCGTCTCCATCACCATTTTAGAACAGGGACCTTTATTCAGTAAAGACTGCTTGAAACTGACAGATGGCTCCTGGAGGAGCCAGAGGGGAGCAGAGAAGTTCACCCAAGATGCCGGCCAGTCCCAGCAACACAGTGTCCCAATGCATATGGCAAATTAGAAAACAGACAGTAGGGAGTAGAAGAACCACACACAACCTAGCAACTCCTCGGGAAAAAAGCACCCCATAAAAAGAAAACCACCCCCCAGATTGCAACGACAGTAACTTGGAAGAACTTCTGAGCCTTCCAGAAAGAGAATTTAAAATTGCCATGATTAAAAAACTGACAGAAGTCATAAAGGAAAACAATGAAAGGGAAAAATAATCAACGATCAGAAGAATGAAACTGAGTCCCTAAAGAGGGAAGTAAAAGAAATGAAGGAGATCAAAGAATTAATGGAGGCACTAAAACTCTGGGAAAAGCTATCAAAGCAGAATAGATGAAATAGAAGAATGAATAAGTACTCTTGAAGACACAGAAATAAAAAGAACCAAAACAGAAAAGGAAAGAGAAGTAAGAAGGAAAAAGACCAAAGAAAGACTTCGGGAACTATCTGACTCCATGAGGAAAGGAAATATAAGAGTTATAGGAATCCCAGAAGGAGAGGAGAGAGATATAGGAAAAGAGAAAATATTCAAGGAGATAATTGAAGAGAACTTCCCAAACATGAAGAAGGAGCTGAAAATCGATATACAAGAAACAAGAAGAAAACCAAACTTCCACGACAAAAAGAAAAATACAGCAAGACACATAATAATAAAGCTCCCAAGAATCCAGGACAAGGAAAAAAATAATGAAGCTGACAAGAGGGAAGAAACAGATAACATTCAAAGGAAAACCAATCAGACTGACATCAGACTTCTCCGAAGAAACACTACGGGCAAGGAGAGAGTGGAGGGACATTGTCAACAGACTCCAAAAAACAGATGACAACCAAGAATACTCTATCCCACAAAGCTCTCCTTCCTCTATGAAGAAAGAATAAGGACCTTCCCAGACAAACAGAAACTCTGGAATTTCATTACGACTAAACCCCAACTCCAAAAAATACTACAAGGAGTCCTAAAGCCAGAACCTCAGAGGGACGAATAACAATGAAAGAAGGCCAAAAAAAAAAGTTATTAAAAGAATAAATAAATAAAATCAAAGGAAAGACAAACACAATGGCAAATACAGATGCTAACATATCAATATTAACTCTAAATGTAAATGGACTAAACTCTTCAATAAAAAGACAGAGTCGCAGGCTGGATTAAGAAACAAAACCAAACCTTTTGCTGTCTCCAGGAAACACATTTAGCTACAAAAGATAAAAATAGACTCAAAGTTAAAGGATGGAAAACAATCCTACAAGCAAATGGACCAAAAAAGAAGGCAGGAACAGCTATACTTATATCAGATAAAACAGATTTCAAACTCAAAAAGATAAAAAGAGACCTCAATGGTCACTACATTATGATCAAGGGGACAATACTTCAAGAAGAAATAACACTCATTAACATATATTCACCAAATGAAGGAGCACCAAAATATATCAGACAACTGTTGTCATCTCTGAAAACAGACATCAGAGAACACACATATGTAGTGGGAGACTTCAACACACCACTATTAACAATGGATAGATCAATGAAACAAAAAATAAGTAAAGACACTAAAGCTCTAAATAAGGATCTAGAGTGCTTGGGCTTAACAGACATCTATAGAACACTAAACCCAAAAAAACGGAGCACACATTTTTCTCAAGTGCACACGGATCATTCTCCAGGATCGATCACATATGGGACACAAGACAAATATCAACAGATAAACCAAGATCGAATCATACCAACCATCTTTTCTGACCATGAAGGCATCAAACTAGAAATAAACCATAAAAAGAAGGCAAGGAACTCTCCTACCTCATGGAGATTGAAAACCACACTACTGGAAGACCATGAGGAGATCAAAGAAGAAATTAAAAAATTCTTTGAATTGAATGACAAGGAGGACACCAATTTCCTAAATGTATGGGATGCAGCAAAAGCAGTAATAAGAAGAAAATATATAGCAATAGTGGCTCACATCAAGAAACAAGAAAGAACTCAAAGAAACAACCTAATCTCGAAGCTCAAAGAACTAGAAAAGGAACAATAAAAAAAACCCAAAACCAGTAGAAGAAAAGAAATAATAAAAAACCAAAGCAGAAATAAATGAAATTGAAACTAAAAAAACAATCCAAAAGATTAATGAAATCAAGAGCTGGTTCTTTGAAAAAATAAATAAAATAGACAAACCCCTAGCCAGGCTCACAAAGGAAAAAAGGGAGAAAGCACAAATAAACAGGATCATAAATGAAAGAGGAGAAATCACAACGGACACAGCAGAAATCAAAAGAATTATCAGTAACTAATATGAACAGTTATATGGAAACAAGTTCAACAATCTAGAGGAGATGGACAAATTCCTACAACTCTACAATCACCCAAAGCTAGATAAAGAAGAAATAGAGCACCTAAACAGACCAATGACAGGCAGCGAAATTGAAATGGTAATCAAAAACCTCTCCGAAAACAAAAGCCCAGGACCTAATGGATTTACAAATGAATTCTACCAAACATTCAGAGAAGAATTAGTGCCTATCCATCACAAACTCTTCCAAAAAATTGAGAAGGAAGGGACAATACCAAATACGTTCTATGAAGCCAACATTACACTAATACCAAAACCGAACAAGGACAACACAAAAAAGGAAAACTATAGGCCAATCTCCCTAATGAACACTGATGAAAAAATCCTCAATAAAATTTTTAGCTTCCAGAATCCAACAATGTATCCATAAGATAATTCACCACGACCAAGTAGGATTCATTCCAGGGACACAAGGATGGTTTAACATCCGAAAATCAATCAACGTTATCCAACACATCAACAAAAAGAGATATAAAAACCATATGATAATATCAATAGATGCTGAGAAAGCTTTCAACAAAGTGCAACACCCATTCATGATAAAAGCCCTTGAAATTCTTGGGATACAAGGAACATACCTCAACATCATAAAGGCCATATATGACAAGCCAACAGCCAGTATCATTCTCAATGGTGAAAAGCTGAAAGCATTTCCATTAAGATCTGGAACAAGACAAGGATGTCCACTCTCACCACTGCTTTTCAATATAATACTGGAAGTCCTAGCCAGAGCAATGAGACCAGAGAAAGATATATAAGGAATCCAAATAGGAAAAGAAGAAGTCAAACTATCACTATTTGCAGATGATATGATAATATACATAGAGAACCCCAAAAACTCCACAGAAAAACTAATTCAACTCATCAATCAGTTCAGTAAAGTGGCAGGATACAAAATCAACATGCAAAAGTCAGTAGCCTTCCTATACACAATCAATAAATCTGAAGAAGAAGAAATCAAAAAAACCATCCCTTTTATTATCAAAACAAAAATAATCAAATACTTGGGAATAAATCTAACAAAAGAGGTAAAGGACCTATACAAAGAAAACTAGAAAACACTGTTAAAAGAACTAAAAGAAGTCACAAAGAAATGGAAAGACATCCCCTGCTCATGGATTGGAAGAATAAACATTATTAAAATGGCCATCCTTCCAAAAGCAATATACAGATTCAATGCTATTCCATTCAAAATTTCAATGTCATTCTTCAAAGAAATGGAACAATTATTGATGAGATTCATATGGAATCACCAGAAACCCCAAATAGCCAAAGCTCTCCTGAAAAAAAAGAAGGGAATGGAGGCATCACAACCCCAGACTTCAAACTATACTACAAAGCCATAATCATCAAAACTGCACGGTATTGGAACAAGAACAGACACACAGACCAATGGAATCAAATAGAAAACCCAGAAATAAACCCACCGATTTATGGTCAACTAATCTTTGACAAAGGAGCAAAGACTATGCATTGAGCAAAGAAAGTTTGTTCAATAAATGGTGCTGGGAAAACTGGGTCACTACATGCAAAAGAATGAAGCTTGTCCACTACCTCACACCATACACAAAAATCAACTCAAAATGGATTAAAGAACTAGACATAAGACCTGAAACCATAAAATACATAGAAGGAAATACAGGCGAAACACTACGCGATATGCACCGCAAAGACATCTTTACAGAAACATCACCCAAAGCAGTGATAGTGAAGGCAAAGATCAACAGCTGGGACTACATCAAATTAAAGAGCTTCTGCACAGCAAAAGAAACAATAACCAAAACAAAGAGAAACCCCATCGACTGGGAGAACATTTTTGCACACAACACTAATGATAAAGGACTGATCACAAAAATCTGCAAAGAGCTGATGAGATTCAACAACAACAAAGAAAATAATCCTGTCAAAAAATGGGCAGAAGAGCTAAAAAGAAACTTTTCTGAAGAGGAAATGCAAATGGCCAACAGGCATATGAAAAA